TTAATTACTTTGTGTTTAGGTATCATTGACGCTGAGTCAAGAGATCCGTCGGCTGTCAGCGCTGGTGGACGAGTACGACGCGCCGTTCAAGTCGGAGCGCGGCGCACTGGAGCAGTACAAGCGGCAGCTGCACCGCCACGTGGAGGCCGGCCTCGGACAGCGCCTCAAGAAGCGCCTCTCCGCCGACATCGGACAGGAGATGGACGCCGTGCAGAAGGAAATGGCCGGTACGTACGTTGTAAAAGCGTAATACCGTAACATTTACAATATGTGAAATATTGTATTCTCTCTCTCTCTCTTTTAAAAAAAATAATAGATAACAACAGTGTTTATTTTGTATTTCAGAGCGCATGTACAACATATTGCCTGCACACAAACGCGCGGCGGCTGCCAACTACATAGTGCCGCACCAGCAGCCGTTCGAGGTGCTGTACCGGCTGAACTGCGACAACCTGTGCGCTGACTTCCAGGAGGACCTCGCCTTCCGCTTCTCGTACGGCATCACCGCGCTCATTCAGCGCTTCCAGGGCAAGAATACCAACAAGATTGCTCTCAAGAACCCCCCACAGTACACACAGGTATTCTTGCATTCAAACATTTTTCTGACTCGAAACACAATTTTAGAGATAATGGGACGTAAATGGATGTGGGGGAAGGCCTATAGGTATAATAAAATATTTTGTTGCATATCAATATATATAATGTGATTAAAGTTATTAAAATAATCACCTCTGTATCTCCAGATTCCGCCGACAGTGGGTCCCGGTGCGCCCCCCATGGAGGTGGCGCGGCGCAACGGTCCCGCAGTGCCTACGGGGGGCGCTACGATGGGGCCGCTGAGCGCAGAGGAGTGGAGCATGGTGTCGCGGTTCGCGCTCGGCGCCCTCACCTCGCAGGGCACCATGGGCGGCCTACTGCTCTCGGGACTGGTCAGTTAACGAGCTGGTGAACATCTGATAAATCAGACTAAAACTCAGTACAAGTGGACTAAAGTGAGCGTAAAGAAGTGTTCAAGTCATTTTGTTTTATTGGGATTTATATTAGTAAAATGACACAAAATGATTTTAAAATATCACATTGTTAGTATATGTAATGATGTCGGTGCAGCTGCTGAAGACGGTGGGATGGCGCGTGGTGGCGCTGACGGGGGCGGTGTACGGCGCGCTGTACCTGTACGAACGGCTGACGTGGACGGCGCGCGCGCAGGAGCGCCTCTTCAAGCGGCAGTACGTCGCGCACGCCGGACACAAGCTGCGCCTCATCGTCGACCTCACCTCCGCCAACTGCAGCCACCAAGTCCAGCAGTCAGTCTCACATACACTCGCTCTCTCTTCCTTTCTATGCCTTTTAGCGCTCTCTCCGGTGTGCGTAGAGCTACTAGAATAATAGAGTACCCAACTCTATATTTATTATGGTTTTATCTTTTTTTTTGTTATAAAATACAGTTTAATCGTGCTAGTGCATAAGGTAACAAAGTACGATTTTGGCGATTCATGACAGCTCTAATAGTTAGTTAATACCTTGAAATAAATAAAGAAACAACCTGTTGTAACGTGTTGCAGGGAGCTATCGACGATGTTCGCGCGGCTGTGCCGGCTGATAGATGAGGCGACGACGGAGATGGACGGGGAGCTGGGTGAGGTGCGCTCCGCCATCGCCATGCTGGAGGACGCCTCCGCGGGCGCCAAGCGTCTGCGCAACAAGGCGCACTACCTCTCACACGAACTCGAGCTCTTCGATGAGGCCTTCCTCAAGCACAACTAGACACGGCGACACTCGCGGTCAGTACACTACGCGGCGTAAACGCGGGGACAACCAGTCGTCACCTCGTGGACGCATCGTTTGAGCAAGCAAAGACGATATGTCCCTCTCGCTTCATCGAGCTTATAGCTGTTTTCAGCTCGATCAAACAAATTTACCAAACCTCGTTGTCTTAAATTAATATTGCATTGCCTTTTGTGTTCTTTTTTTTGAAAACATTATTTTTAAGCATTAAACTTTCTATCAAAATTTAAACGTTAATTTTGTATATTTCAGTTACGCGCGACACTAGACAATTACCTCAGTGTCAGCGGAGGCCGGCGCTCCGGTCTGCGGAGCCCTGTCCGCTGCACTGCTGCATGAGCCGTGTGTGCAGTCTTAACAAGCTCCCAGCTACTTTACACTGTGTCGAGATATCTTATAGGTCAGGCTTTAAAGTCTAATAAAAATAATTGTCATTGTTATTTGAATATTAATTTGGCAACATATTTTTTTTAAATTAGTTAAATAGGAAACCTATGAAATTTATTAGCATTCTTTAGTTGTAGATTTATTTTAGAATCTAAATTAATGTACGAGGAATTGTCAGACATCGTAATGATAAGCAATATCTAGTTATTTATGAATAAATTATTACATTTTTTTTATTGAAAGTTACTAGAATTGATTTAACAAATTGAAGCCTGAATTGTGAAGACGATAAGGTTCAGATAACTCGGCACATTACTGATGAGTAAACGAGAATAAGACATGTTTGTGTTGGGGAGGTTTTGCAGCCGCGGAAGGTAAACATTTGCCTTTACATTTTGTACAATTGTATAGCAAACTTTTAGTACAGTCGCCTGCAATAAAGTATTTAAGAATTTGCTTTTGTTAGAAGACACAGTGAAGACACTAATTTGAAGAATTTGTATGAAAATGGTAAAAAATGTTGCACGCGACTGTACTGGTATGTAAAATAGTTTTGTTGTTTTTGTTTATTTATTAGTTTGCGAGGATGGATATGATGTTGACATGTTGAATTGTTGTTTTTTTCTCGCTTTTATATGCGATTTATTTGTGAGTAGTTTGAATGTTTACCTTCCACATTAGGTGATATTATTTGCTTGTGTAAATGCCGTATTTTAAAAACTATATTATATGTTGTTGTACTGGGATTGTCTACATATGTCATGGAAGTCTGTTATCGCGTCTCCCGCAAGCAGACAGACATTTCACTGGTTGTGTATACAAAGTGCGGGTTGATGCTACCGTCATGGATACAACAGTGACCAAATCTCGCGTTATATCCTCACTATTTGTAAATTAACGAATTTCGTATAATATTAGGAGAATTTAAATTTATTGTTACGTCAAAGGTTTTATCTATAACAGGACGATAAAATCTGTTGTTAACGCGACGGCCTTTGACTTTTGATTTGAATATTTATTATGTAGAGGTTTATTTATATTTATTGTATACGCGATTTTCGTGTTTGAAATGCTTGTGAATGCCTACTGGGTTACCAAATGCGATATTATTGTAGGATAGGCTACTAGTGTTGAGTGTCGCCTCTCTCTCCACATAGCTTTTGTTATACATAAAAAGAATCTTTGAGACACGAATAACACTGCATTAAAATGATCAAATGTGTTTCGATAGTTAAATGCGTTTCGGTGGTCAACTGCGTCGCGTGGTCAACAAGTATGTTTCGGTGGGCAAAAGTGTTTCGATGTTCCATTGCGTCTCGTGGTCAAATGTGTTTCGATGGTCATCTGCGTTTCGATTAAATTAGTTCGTGGCGCATTCAACACTGGCGGCCGAGTAGTTAATATTGTTTCACTTTAAGTTATAATTTATACGCTTTATAAATGAAATATTAGAAGTTGGAGCGTTTGTTGCGGATTTTATAAATTATAATGAACTCTATTACAAAAATATCAAGAGCATCGACACTTACAAAATATTATAATACATAACGTTGTTTCTTATTTTATACATTATCTTATTTTGAATTTCAAATATGAATAAAAGGTTTCATTATATTTGATATTTCGTAAGTGTCTCAATAAATATTGTTTTTGCCTGAATGAAAAGTGATGGTTCTATAGTATTGACTACATTTTTCTATCTGTAGCAAAGGTAAACAAAATGAATGTCGTGTAAACCAATCAGTCGTCGCAATTAATTTGCTTTGGCAGCTAAAATGGTTTTTCCCTTGAAAGTTACACCAATTTACTGTAAAACTGACATATAAACAAAATATTGATTCAAATCTCGAAATTTTGGTTACGTTTACGGTTAATTTTCTATAAATAATTAGTATTCTTCAGTCTTTTCAAATATCTTCGCGACAGGCCTTCAGCTGCGCAGTTCCTTCACCCCGCATCCCTACACCTCCCGCCTAAGCAATAATATGTTTGTGGTACTGCGCAGCCAACTCGCACGATGTTCCGAGCCGCCAAAATATTTGAAAAGTACTATACCGTATACGGTCATTAAACTTTGTAATCAAAATTTTATAGAAATTTTGAAAATGAATTTGTCGAAATTAATTCGAAAGAGTTTTTTGTTGGTGTCACTTGCCAATTTTGACATTTAATAATTAAGATGTTGCTGCAAAATCACAAAAAAGTGATAATTTTTCTTTATTCTTTATTTATTCAAATCATGGCCTTAAAAATAATTACCCGTAGTAAAATTGAACGCGACGAATTATATTTTATAATTAGGGTTGTGCGTTATCAAAACACGTAAAAATCGTCATTTATTATTTTCACTTTATCTTAATGTTTGCTTAATTTTTTTCTTATTGTCTTTAAGAAGCAAATACATTTTATATTTTAACAACCCTAGTTCCTAAAATGTAAATGCGTTTCGTTTGCGTGAAAATATTTTGTATGAATTTAACTTTCCCGAGTCCAAACAACTTATTCATGTTAAATGTTGTTGTCCAATGTAATTAGTTATCACGTAATTAGGTGAATTTTCTTATGTAAATAAAAGAAATAAAGGATTCATTTATATTTTTTTTTGTTTTTATTATATAATAGCTGTCGCCCGCGGCTCCGTTCGCGCGTAATTACAAAACTATGTTCTCCAGACTATGTTCTACATCTATAATAAATTTCATCGAGATTCCAGCCGTTCTAGAAACACCTTCTAACAAACATCCATCCAATCCAATTTAGAAGATGCGATTTAAATATTTTAAAAACATTAAAGGTGAAAAATAATGAAAAACATTTGTTAATTTTTTCTTGGTTTATTTAAAAAATATAAACAAAACATTTCATGATAACAGATTTCTTTAAATTAAAACTATGAGATCATGAGTTCTAGGGTAATCTTAGAACTAAAGACGTAAACAAATATTTGCGACACGCGGTTTCGTAATCGGCTAAATTAATTAACATTTGTTGGTGTACTTTACCCCCTGTAGAGGGCGCAGCACAAGTTTTGTCGATCGCATTACGAAATCTCACAGATATTCATGTTAGGCTCTCAGTATTGAAAAGTATTTCGCTCTCTTAAACCCAAACCCCACCTGAAATACACTTCATTTAATTTCAAGTTTTAAAAATAAAAATAAATTACGAAATAAAGTAAAAAAAAAAGATAAAATATTCCCTCATCTGAAGGAATTAACTATATCGGTTTTAATATCTGAGACCAACTCAATAAATCATTTCATCAGTTCTATATGTTAGAATTTCTTGTATTGAAATGTTTAACTTGTCCGGGACACAAGTATCTGGTTTCATCTGAAAACAAAAATTAAATTCCGTTATAGAAATTAACATAGAACTTTTTAAAAAAACCCAGACTGTATCCTATGAAACTCGGGGAAAAATTAAAAATCAAATGATAATTCACTCATCAAAATTGTTTCATTCGATCAATCTCCAATAGATTGAATGAATGAAATAATTCAAAATGTAATCAAAATACATACATTCGCACGATTATTTTTCTAAATCAGTCAAAAAAGATAACCCTACCAAATTTCTGAGTTGTTTTCCCTTGTGTCGGATCATTTCGTTTTTGTTAGTACATACCGGTTCAACATCTGTCTTGAAGTCAGCCTTCATAAAGTGCACGGTGTGGTCGGAGCGTGTGGTGAGACCGTAGTGTCGGCAGAGCGCGGCGGCGGACATGGCGCTGCGCAGTGCCAGCCAGCGCGCCACCGCATCTGCGGGCACACTCCCCTGCCGGCTGCTGTACGCCTGGCACACCACTGACACACCTCTTCTAAAAAACACAATGAAAAAGATACTACCTACAACTATGTAGATACTAGATTTATAGCCGATCACTGCTTTCCAAATAAATTCATTGAAGTGTCAACAACATATGAAACATAGTTAATACTCAACAAAAACACCCAATAATTAAGTATATTGCTTTTTTCTTATTGCATATTTATAGTTCTACAATTTGATACAAAGAAATTTTAACTATTACCTTTGAATAGTGGGTAGGTGTAAATAAAAAGCGCAGTAAGTGAGTGGACACAACTTTTCCGATAGCCTGCACAACTTTACAAAGTTGCCGTGCAGATTTGCTATTGCCATCTTGTATGCTAACTGCAGTAGTGGGGCCCTGTCATAAAGTAAAGGAACAAAATTATGAACAGTATAAAAATATTTCATTGTGTGAAAATAGCCAGTAACTGTATGCTATTGTGATGTCATCATTTATTTAATCAGCAATTACTGTGTGCACCAAAATTACGAGTAACTATCAAAAGCAATCAGTTTTATAGCTTCATTCAATGTTATATTATATAAATTGTTCAACAATAAAAAATCATACCTTTTGATATCCGGCCTCAAAGATAAATATCTGTATAAAGGATGCATATCACCTAAATTACACAACACATACAAGCTCTCCACTAAAACTCTGTCACATTTTAGACTATAGTCATCCTTATCTATGGTCCAATTCGAAATTAATTCAGTCAGCTCATTGTCTCTGGTATTTTTGTTATGCATATCACAGCAGCTCAGAAACCATTTCATGCATTCTAATAGATATTTTCTATTTAATACTGGATCAAATTCATTTAAAGAACTTGCACATAATCTGTAAATATTATGTTTTTATTATCGAAGCTAAAATTAAAAAAATACTGAATTGTTTTTATGTTTGAATCTTGAACTTTAAGTATTTCCGATGTAATCTAAAATAAACTTTTATATTTGACAATTAATAGTGTACTCTATAAAACATCTTGTGAACTTGCCTGTATCCAAAATAAACATAGAATCTGATCATAGGTTCAAGCAGTTGCATACATTCCTCTGGTCCCAATCTCTGTACCGTCATATCTTGCCGAATGGCTCTTAATCTGTCATTTACAAAGTCATATATGCATGCAGCAGTTACATCTGTCCGTTTTGTTACCCTGCAAATAAAATTAGAGTTGTTAGTTTGCTGTAATAGTTTTTAGATGACAAAGAAAGTAAAAAGTTTATATTCTTAACATAAAATTACATAACTAGGTAATATCTGGAGAAGGGGCCATTGCCATTGCCATTATAGTGAAAGTTTACATGAAAATGTTGATAGAATTGTTGCAATTTAAAAGAAACAGTTAAGTATTCATATTGTATCTAAAAGAATGTACCATAATTATAAATGATCCTTTGTTACTTAAACTGTTTTTAGGGTTCCGTATTTCAAAAGAAAAAAAACGGAACCCTTATAGAGTATGTTGTGTCTCCGTCCGTCTGTTAAGACCCTTTTTTACAAAGCAATACCTTAGCAATAAGTACTGAGTAGTCTCTTTAAGAATAGGAAATGGTCTCAGATGTCCAGGAATCGCTATATGTGAATCTGCTGCTGAACGACTGTAGCTTTTAACCATCTGTCTTGTCGAGCCTACAACTTCCAACACATGCACGAGCTTCTCTTTTTCTCGTCTGAAATCAATATACTTTCAATAATGGGATTGTACGAGTAGTGAAAAAGAAGTAGTAAATGGCGAGAAATTATTCATATAACTACGTCTTTTAAACATACAATTTCTTTTCGGCCTGAGGACACATCTCATAGCAAGATCCTCTGATACTTTCAGTATCCCAACTTTTATTTTTGATATCGTTACAGAAAAAATCAAAATATGCCATGATTTAATATGCAAATATTTAATTTTATTAAAAATTAAAAAAAGAAGTTTAGATTTTAAAAATCTTTTGTTTTTTTTATGTTTTGTGACATTTCATGTCAAATGTCAACATTCAAAATATTTTTTTAAATGACAATTTTAAGGCTCTGGCTTATTGCCCATTAAGTTATATGTAGTTTTATTTGTAACATTAATAAAATACTACCAGATTTTTGTTAACTTGCTAATGTTTCTTGAACCATTCCAACCAAGCTTAGACTTGTGCTAGGATTTGGTTTGCGACAATAGTCGCATGTTGAGATTTGAACCCTTAACAACGTGATCGGATGTCCGTAACCTCATTCTACAGGCGCTGTTGAGTGTCAACTTTCTGATAAAACTTATTTCGAAGACGTTTAAATTACAAGTAAACAGTAAAAGTTATAGGTAAGTATCCTGTAGAATCGAAAGCTTTGTGGTGGTTATGCACCTTAAAAGGTTAAGTACAAAGTATGTTCTGCTATTTTGAATAAAAAAATATTGCACTGTTTCTCAAAATTAAACTTTCTTGACTTAAATTTTTTCTAACGATGACACCGTGTTAATGTTTTTTCATTAAGAATCAACCTGTACATATCAGTCAAGTACTTACTACTAAAATAATATTTAGCAGCGGAAATGTGAAAAAAAGCAAACTTATCATTCACATTACTGTACATTATAGTCAATTACAGTCGGAAATGTACTAACGAATTAAGATTCATTTATTCACATTTATCCTATAATAGATCTGAATTATATTATTTGAGTTTAACATAAATATCATACCAGAGAAGTCTAGCAATTTACATAAGTTTATCATAATTCTGACAATGTTTTCCATTACCAGAACATTTATACGTGCCCTAATGATCTTCACCGTTTTGGCAAGTTTTATAATTTTCTGTGCAAGTTTATTTAATTATAATATCTGTTTATTCGTACCTAATCGCATGCGAAAAATGTAACCATTGCAAAGATAATAGAATTCTTATGTATATATACTACAGGTGGCTGAATTAACGATTTCCAATATTTGAATATTATATAAAAAAATATAAGATTATTTTGTACAGATGCAAATTCACCTTCGCATGTAGCATGTATCATCTTTCCGTCCAGCCGGGTTTAGGGAAAAGTTATATTTCGTATAATTATGGAGGAGGTGGATTAAAAATTATGGTAAATATTTATCACATTAGAAAAAAAAATGGTTTATTTATTCTAATTTCAGAGTATTAAGATATTTGTGGAAAGGGCACAATTGATCGCTTTGAATCCGAAATACCTTTCCTGTGGATTTGTGAATGTTACCCGTTATGAAAGAGGAGGCAGCTTCTATGTAAATTTTGAATTTGTTAACAAAGTGCTCTTCTCGAATGATGCCACGGTGCGTATAAATAGAGTTGGTGAAATAAGATGTGACTAATAGATAAGTAGATCACTCCTTTTAGCGCTTTACCTCATTGTACTTACAATGTGGTTGAGCGACAACGTGCTCACTCTACCATTTGTCTGTTGATTGTAGAGTCGAATACGACGACGGAGTGATCTAAAAGCCATCTATTGTCAGAGTTCTCATTCTCTTCCCTCTCTCCTTCCATCTATCCACTTCTAAAAATGTCTGGTACTCCATACGCATATCTTAACAAATAAACGAGGAAGTAATGAGATTGAACGTGGATAGCTATTAAAGTAGAGGAAGATCGAAAAAAGATTGTCAGAGAGAGTTTAAGCTTAAAGAGGAGGGGAATTCAGATATGACTGCAGGTAGAGTAGAATGCACTCTACCGATTAGGGAAAAGAGCAGGACAATGGCGCTGGTGTCAGGTGTCAAATTAAATCCACCGCTTTCAATCGTTTATATATAAAAAAACAAATATTTTTCACATCCTTAGGTGACAATGAAATTCTTCGAATATCGCTGGAATAAATACTATCGTTCAGTTGTTGAATTTCATTACAAATTCTGTGACTTTATCGAGAAAGATGTCTACGTGGGAACGGTGATCGGTGCAAACGGCTTGAAATGCCCAGTAAAGCCTGTAAGATATTAAATATTTCAATAATTACTATTTATAACTTTCTTTTTAATACAAGATCATTTTATTCTGGTAATTGCAGGGAAAGCACACGGTGATGAATGTGACTGCACACTTTGATGATTTTCCCAGTCCTTTACCTTTTGAAAAGGCACGAGTTAACTTCATTTTCAACACGAGTAATGGAGACTTGGTGGCCGAGGGAGCTGTTTATTTTTCAGTAAAAAATAATGATGTAAAAAATAAAAAAGCGAAACGCATTTGATGTGGCTATTTAGCTATTCCTCTTTAAGATTTGTATGATATTAAACTGTCATATGATATGTTTTTGAAGAATATTCATTTACCTGCATTCCGGAGACAACTAAGATAAAGTTAAGTACGGTTTTCCACTGGTGAAATAAAACATGATATTCTATTTCCAACATATACTTAATAATATGCCTAACAAAGTAAGGCAACGTCTGCAAATTCGAATGTCTATGGGCATCGGTATATTTTTTAAATCAGGTAGCTCGCTTTTTTCCCCAGCTTATTCTTAAAAAAATAATAAAGAAAAATGTTCGTATGAGTGTTTCGTCAATAACCCCAAAAAAAGGTAAAGTAAACACCAAGAAAAAACTTTTGACGTCAAAATTGTTTTCCTTTTCTTATCAAATGAACGCAAGTAATTCCTTAATGTATATAATTACTTCTCACTGTGTTATACAATTCGTCTCTCGGGATATCTATTCAGTCTGTAATCTGTTTAATGAACTTATGACTGCAGATTGATAGTGCGACGGACTGCGATGTGTTAGTGTTTTAAATATGGAGACGAAAATATTCCTGTGTTTTATTTTTACCATACAACTTTTTATACGATCTCAAGCGCAGGGGATACGTAAGTATTATTTATAATATATAATAATTAAAATGTTTATTAGTCGCTAATTAATATTTAAGAATAGGTACAAATGTATCTTTAACGCTTATTAACATTGAAAAACATTAAAAAAAAATATTCAAATTAATAACCTTCTTTTTGAAGTCGGCTAAAAGCTATATCAGGGAATTAAAATCATTTTACTAGTAAATGTCGGATACTGTGGAAAGCATTTGGAAGGTGCAGCAGAGCATAAATGCTGAACTAAAATGGCCTGCTGCCCGTCCTCCGGTGGTCTGGACGCAGTTTAACGACGGTACCCGGGTCATAACGACGGTACCCGGGTCATTGTGTGTTTAATACGTAATATAACAATCATTTTAGGGTACTGCCCGGCCGGTGCGTTGAGATGTCAGGACGGGATCTGTATAGACTTTCATTTCTCCTGCGACGGAGATGCCGATTGTTACAACATTTCAAACACAGACGTTCCATGTAAGTCGCAAGCATTCTACATTCTTAAATACAACGCTAATAATTATGCTATGCCTCATTGACCTCAGCCTGGACTGCCAGAGATAAGGCTGGAAACTGATTGGAACCCAGTGAGATTAACATTAAAGTGCCCTAGTATAGACGTCGTAATAAAAATTATCATGGCATCAGTTAATTACGATAGACCTTTTATCAGTCTTTCGTAATTTAAATTAACTGTCGCCTGTGATTCCCTGTGCACGATATTAAAAAAAAAACAAAGAGCTTATGTGTACTTCTAAACTATGTTCTATATCCACGACAAATTTCAGCGATACAAGTGAAAATGTTCTGGAGATATTTTCTAATAAACATCCATCCATTCAAACTATCGTATTTATAATATTAGTAAGATTAATTCTTATCTTCAGATGGTGTCACTTACAATGGTAGTATCAAGGTTAATGATATTTGTATCATTATAGATAGAACCCGTCTGTTAGGTGTGAGGGCTCCTGTGAACCGCCTATGTAAACAGAGCCATTTTGAGTGCGCGAACGGGCGCTGCGTGCCGCTGAACTGGGTATGCGATACGGAGGACGACTGCGGGGACGGCTCAGATGAGCGCGACTGTCTCCCCCGCGACTCTCCCCCCTGTCCAGTCAAACTGCTGCAGACCTACAGCAGAACGCTCAAAAAATTTAATATAAAAAATGTTTCTGTATCGTGTAAAAGATGTATTACGTCAGGTGAGGTTTCAACGTAGACTTTCCGAGACAAACATAAGTTTATCATCATATTGTTTACAACCTTCGCTTAACAATAACTTCATGACTTAAAGCATCTATCCGTCAACAAAAGGAACCAAATAATTGTGACTATGTTTGTCATTTTGTGAAACCGTTGTAGTCGCATCAGTCGCTGTCGGTACATTGTTCATGGAATTAGCTTTCGCAAGCCGCTTAGAATAGGGCTTAATGAGCGATCACCTTTATTATTCATAAGTGTAATTTTCAATAGATAAAAAAACTAAGTAATCATACATTTATTTTATTGTAGAACAGGATAATACCAAGTTGAAAGTGACGATATATCCCACGAAGACTAAACATTACGGTATGTAATCTAACAACATAATAAGAACGGATTTAAAATAATAATCAAAGAATATTATATGTCACAATATCTATCATAATAGTGTATAAATGTAATATAATTCAATATAATAATGTCTTGATCCCACAGACAAAATAATAATGTCGATTTGTTGTCGTTTTGTGGGACGAAATAATTTTAATAACATTTTTTTTGTTATAATTAATTAATAAATAAATAAGGATAATAAAATAAAACTTAATATAATGTATTTTTGATTGCTTTTTACTGTCACGTACAATTTAATAACTTGATTTAATATTTTCATGGCACCACCAGTCAACGTTGGTAAGTACTAAGTTTAAATAAATATTTGGATGTTAGCACTAATTTCTATAAATGGATAGGCAATTGCTTGGAAATTATAGCTTTTGTTGTGTTCCGATTAAAACTCGCCCGTTGATGTTACGTGACGATTAATTCTAATTATATTTCTAATTCGAATCCATACCACCTCTACAAACCGTTACCTATCAGCGCCAAAAGTGGTGAAAATCAAATAGGCACGAAATAATACATCTTATAGCCGTCCATTTATAGCGGTCAGTGGTGTTAAGTATAATGGGGAGAAAAACTGCTTTTTATCACAATTGATGTCAGCATAATCAAAAAATAAATATACACACATACTGTTAACTTTAATCATAGCAATGACTTCCCGCAAATTTTACTCAAAAAAAACGTTTTTAAATACAGTCAATGAATGATTTATAATCTAAAAATGGTTTTTAATTCAGCTGTGGATAAAGTTCTATTTTCTCTTCCGGCACAGTAAGTAAGGAATACATTTTTAACTTTTCGATCAACTTGACTTAAAGTCCTATGTCCCCGTAGTGGGGTTGAGGGCGTCCACAGTGCGGCGCCAGTTCTACTCTACTCTATCTTGGGCTCTGGGTTTGAAATTTTTCGATCAAAAATCTTATTAAATGTCTTCGAGAATGTCCTTTAAAAACTTTGACAGATGACAGCGGACTACTTAGAACTTTACGCTTTTCAGTTTTTCTCCTCATTAAATAGTTACTCCGATTAAATAAAGACAAAAAATATAATTGTGTATAGGCGATGCTTTGGTGCTGCAATGCCGGGACGAGAGCGGTCTGCGAGCGCCTGTGCGCTGGTTCAGGGAGGACAACAAATCATTCACAGTCGGAACTGGTCAATTCATGGGACGTTTGGAAATAAATATAGTTGATGTAAGTTATTGTTCATCTTAAACCCTTGCGGTGGGAGTGTGATCCCTCTTTTTATTATTTACCACGGGTAGAGAACTAGTAGTTACGAAGAACTGTTCGAGCGCGGCAGACCACCTGTTTACGCTTCAGTGGTGTGACACCATCTTTATAACTGGCACTATGAAGCGCTAGCAGCCTAATGATTAAGGGTATGGATTTTCGATTTTGTGGTCAAGGGTTCAAATCCCGCCATTCGACCTCTGTCGTCCTAGCATACAGGCCTAGAACTTAGATTGAATCGTCTAAGAAATATTGGTAAATTAACAAAAAATAGCTAATATTTTATTATATTATAATATACACACAAAAAAATATAATTACCCTATTGGCAAAAACTCAGAGCCTTAAAATTGCTATTTAAAAAGAGCCCTAAAATCCTCCTTGGGCGTCGATAACCTCTTAACACTACTAAGGATCGTGGTGCTCTTTTTGTTATCACATAAAAAAGCGCGTATCATGTTTTCAGGAAGCGGATGGTGGAGGTTACGTTTGTCAAGCGGCATCACATTTGGGCAGTCCTGGCTCGGAAGCAAGAGTCAATGTTATAGTGAATAGTGGAAACGGTGATGGAGATATACGAACGATACGGAAGCCCAGGTTTAAAGGTAATCAAAGTTGCAGTTCATAAAAAATGAAAATCATTATCGTGAAAACATTTAAATAAAATGGAATAATATAGAAACGTTTTCTTTAAATGTTTAAACATAGTAATCTTTTAAAATATTTTCAAGATTGCTTGTCACAATTTAGCAAGTTAAAAACTCCATTATTATTTTTGCAAAGGTCACTTGAATTCGCTAAAATATTGAAGTGGGCAAATGCTACAAATTATAAAATTTCATATGCGTTGCTTACTTTTAAGGGACAGAAGGGACATAAGAGACTATTCCTTCCTATACGTCTCCTCCCCACTAAATCCGCATCGCATCGCCTTTCCATCCTTTATTAGAAAATAATAATAAATAATGGATAAAGGAAAGCACATTTACCAGACAAAACGCGTAATTACTTCCATTTCACTGGACAACAGTCCAGTGTGGTCGAGGTGCTGGTCAAGCGGACCATTAGTGCAGCAACTGTTCCTGACTACGCAATACAAGCAAGTAATAATTTTATATTGTAACTTTATTCAGAACTATTTTACAGAGACGCAGAGTGAATGTTACGAGTGGCAGTTGCAATGTGTTTCGGATAAATTGTGTTTGCCATTGATATGGCGCTGCGACGGCGATATAGATTGTGCAGACGGCTCCGACGAACGCTTTTGCTTCGTTCCCATCTCATCAAACTATCCTGATTCTAATTAATGCTGCAATCTTAGATTTTATTAATTATGTTAAAAAGAGCACATGTCTGAAAAATAAATGCTATTTTTATTTATACATTGTTAAAAAAATTAAATTAAAATTTCTTATATGTTATACATTTTTAAATGATTGTTTTTTTGGCAAGCATCTGAAAGTGTGTATGACATATTTATTTATATTAAATAAACATGCAAAAAAATAAGTCTCATGCTTCTATCTGTAAAAATGACTATACTTCCTTACAAATTTAAAACTTTTCAACCCCTTACAACCCCTTTTCCCCGTTATAAAGTAGCCTATGTCCTTTCCTCAGCTCTGGACTATCTGTGTACCAAAATTCATTTAAATCGGTTCAGTAGATTTGCTTGAAAGAAGGACAGACAGACAGATTTACTTTCGTATTTATAATATTAGTAAATAGTAAGGTTAAATACTAGCTGTCGCCCGCGACTCCATCCGGGTGGAATGAAAAAAAAAATAATCAGTTCCCGGCAATTATTCGATTTTTTCTCACCTTTTAAACCTTCCCTACACCTTCACGAACATTTCAATACCAAGATAAGATAAATCCGTTCAGCCGAACAGCAATAGATTTTTATATATTATATATAGATAGAAGATAATTGGTAAGGAAGTATGAATGTGACATCTTCAACAGACTGTAACGAATGTTAGGGTCGTGCTATTAGAGTTAATAGCACGATTAAGATTTGTATCAATTCTACGCTACTTATAATAAGTACATTTCATTATAATAATTACACTTAATTCTACGCACTACTTTCATTCGTTAAATTAAACAGTTATTTTATTTGCTATATCAATTGAAACTTTATAATAGTCGTTTTCAATGCGAACATGATAGGGATTACAAGAACTTGTTTTTGCGTTTTTTTGATCGCCAGCGTACTAGTAAGTTTTTTTAATTGTATTTTATAATAAATAAAAAAATAATATGTGTAATTTTTACATAATATTTTACTGATTTTGCAGAGCTTAAAAATGATTTTCGAAAGAGGTCGAGTTACCTATTTTAATCCAAAATATGTTGATAATGCTTGGGGAAACGTAACTCGCTATGAAAGAAACGGCGATTATTACGTAAATGCTGAATATATTAGCAAGTATGCTATAGGAAATAATGCAACGGTTTGTATTGATGTGGTAAAATTCTTAAAGTAAAAAAAAAACACATTTTCCGTTTTCATATTTAGAAAGAGAGGATCCGCTTTCCTAATGTTGTTAATTCAATCGGTAACACAGAATAAGGATGGTTGCATGATAAAATGGTGTTACTTTTAGTAATTTCTCTCAACGAATTCGCATTGAAATCCAAACACCAAGCGGTGTGCCGCGATAATTTGACAGCCCTAGCTGAATAACATTGCAGTGGAAATTTTACACACAAAATTTGCTCATAGAAAAAGAGGGTGAAAAAGACATTAAATAATTACATCCTTAAATCTTAAGTTCAATGTATATAAGTATTTAAACATTTTATTTAAAGATAACATGTAACGAAACTATAACTATAAATATTTAACAATTGAAAAATATAATAACTTAATAATATATACATAAACTTATTATTGAATTACTTAACTCTATATTAATTATTAAGTGACTAATTAAATTAAAATTAATCTACCAAAATAATACTGTAAACTATATAATTTACTAAATCAAACTAAATAATATAAAAAATCGACCCCAAATCGCTGCGGTCACACGGTAGGGTTTCCAAGAGGCTGGCGGCATTTCCCCGTTGGATGGCCAGGCTCAACCTTTGCCCGAAATGCGCGCCAGCCCTTGGATCTCCTGAGGCGTCGATGAGGCGTGCGGAAATCTCCTTAAACAGGCGACGGTATAAGTATAATATTATTTTAGTGTAGTTAAACTAATTATGGCATATTGTGCGTTTTTAGCTAACCATCAAGTTTTATGAATTTCGATGGAACGCATACAAACTATCTCTTGTAAATTTCCAATGGAAGATGTGTGACTTCCTAGAAAAGGATCCGTACTTAGGGGCAGTGGTGGCCTCGATATTAAAGAAAAAATGTCCCGTGCCGGCGGTAAGCATACTCACACAATTAAGCATTTATTAAATTGTGAACCTGTGCCTGTGTAGTTTTTAATTTCTATATGTGAAAGATGTGATGGTTGCTCGTTGGCATCTCAATAAAGGCACCTCAGGTGGAGCTCAATAGGCCATCAGTATGCGCAATCACAAAAAAAAGTAAGGAAAAACCACGGCGCAAACGTAAATACTGCCAACGCAAAACCAAATCTCGAGTAATTCCATTCCGTATTTGTTATGGTTCGCGGCCGTGTGCTATGGGCGTTAGTTGGCTTAAACACAATATACTTTTTTTATCGTTTCAGGGAAAATATAAACTTATGAATATCAGCACACATATGGATAATTTCCCAAATGTGTTCCCTTTTGAAAAGGGTCGAGCAAGATTAGTTTTTACTGCAACATCTACAGGAGAGTTAATGGCAGATGCAGAAGTTTACCTATCACTCAAGAATAACATTAAAAGTAACAAACGACAACGCTGACGCTGCAAATAACCATAATAGAAGTTTGTCTTTTGTACTGTGAAACGCACGCATAAACATAATAATAAATATTATTTTGTGAATAACAATAAAGATTATGAGTATCGTAAAATAGTGTCTTTAAATTACATTGTATTCCACGTTTCATGTGATAAGTGTGACCGTCGGAAGCCAAATTCAAGTTCTTTTCCCCTTCCCACTGTTTATTAACATGGAAAGGTTGGGATGGGGAAGAGAACAGCTACTCATTGCTAAATCATCTGAACGCAGATATTAATATCTAAAAATTAAATCCAAGATCAAAAGTAAGATTTACAGACATGCCTAAGATTACTTGATTTGTGTGCTTTTATTTTAAGAAAGCAACCATATTTAGAAATGAGACGGTGCTCCAGCGCGTCGCTATGAGCCGAAAATTCATGCAGACCGTCAAAAAGCGTAAAGTGGAATACTTGGGTCATGTGCTGCGGCATGACAGGTACAAGTTACTTCAGTTGATAATTATGGGCAAGAATGAAGGCAAGAGACGCGCTGGACGTAGGAAAAAGTCGTGGCTACGTAATATTAGGGAGTGGACGGGGATTAGGTCAGCAGAGGAACTGTTTCGCCTTGCGCTTGACAGAATCAAATATTCCGATTTAGCGGCCAACCTTCAAGACTGAAGAGGCACTAGAAGAAGAAGAAACCATAATTACTAAGTTGGTAAATCGTAGGTTTTGCGTGTAAAGGATTCACCATAGTTAGGGTTAGATTGGAATATCGTATAAATCACCATCATTTATAATTTTTATTAAATTCTTTTCCATGTTAACTTTAACTGTGTTAATTTTCACGTTCATCTGTTCGAGAAATTTCCTTAAGACTACTTTTTTGTTATAATTACTATTCATATATTGTGTACATTTAATATTCAATTTTGGTATGAAAATCATCATTAGTTTGTAATGAAGTCGATCAATTCTACATTAGGCTACAGTCTAGATCATTTTGTAATACAAATGTATTATGATTGCGTTTAGAATTTAACCTTCTTTATACTTCACTACACGCTGTTCTGTGCATATATTTATAAGTTTGGAGCAGTTTCTACCATTTTGGAATTTATAAAATGTATTCCAACATTATCAAAGCTTTGTTTGTTCTTTATCTCTATATAAGTGACGTTTGCGTAAGTAAAACAAAAAAGTATCAAAATACTAAAAATCGTACAACAATTAAGTATTTCCTCTAAGCTTAACTTTTGTGTGCACTTAAGAAACACCTCTGCCAAATATTAATATTTATATGTTCTGAGTGATTGTTACGTAATAGAAGCCAACTGTTATCTAGTTAAATAATTCCTTTTGAATTGTAGAGCTTGAAAGTGACATTCGAAAGAGCGTACATCACCTTCTTCAATCCAAAGTACGTGGAATATGCGTATGTAAACGTGACGCGATACTCCAGGCGGGGCGACTACTACGGGAATATTGAATACAAGGCTAGATATTCCACAACAAATAACGTCACGGTATGTACTAACGTCAAATCATTCAATAGTAATAGAGTCCGCAGCAGGAATAACTGCTAGACGATTCGCCCGTTCGACTTGTATCGATCGACCACGATAACAGAAGACAGACGTGATGTGAAAGTAATTCTGCGTGTCGTGAATGACTGTTGCAAAGTCAAATTCTCTCTTCCTACCCTTTTGAATAATTAGATTTAATTGGGGAGAAGACGCATTGGAAAGGGAAATGGTTTTTCCTGTGATACTATCGCTGCTAAATTGACGCTTAAATGTTGATTCAATTGCAACATAACCGTATAGCTTCTCATTCGCAGATCCACATTTACTTCTACGAGGAAATACGCAACCAATACAAGCGGTCGTTCATCGAGTTCCACCACAAGATCTGCGACTTCCTCACGAAGGATCCGTACATCGGCGCGGTTGCGGCTAATCTGGGACTCGACAAATGCCCCGTCCGCAATGTAAGAAACGCCTGTCCCGAAATGAAAAAGGGCCTTTTTTTGGTATCGGGTTCGGAAATCTTCGTAAGATACCTTGCCTTTTGGAGAGACAAGGTTATGGAGATTCCTACTAAAACATCCTCGGTGGCCAACTTAAATGCGACTACGAGGTTCCGGAATCTCAAATGGAACGCAGCGAACGAAAGAAAAGTTAGGGCTTTACCTACCTAATACATCTCGTATTAAATCTCTTAAAACATGCAACTCTTTTCGTCGCATTGGCTGATATGTTTTACGCATTTCCTCTTTCACATCCATACTTTATTCGGTCTTCTTAATATTTTCTTCCAGGGCATACACAGATTACTAAACGTGACAACTAATTACGACAACTTTCTGAATGTCTTCCCGTTTACAAAGGGTCGCATTGACTTCTGGTTTAACTGCAGTGATACAGGCGAGGGTGTAACCGGCGCCACCGCTTTTGTCGCATTTAAAAACGAATTCAAGAGGAAACAAGGACAAAGAAAATATTAATTTCTAACTGCTATATCTAATAACCTTAAAAACAATATTGTAAACCTTGTTATGTGATGTACTGGTTAGATATTGTAAAGAGTATTTGTTAAAATAAAGAGTATTTCGCATTTAAAAAAATACTTCATTACCTAACTTCAAATTCAGAATTTGTCAATATTTCTTGAAAACAACAATATATTTTATATACCTTTTATATTATTTTAATTTTATAATTTTATTTTATAAATATAAATGTAAAAATTGATGAATCTCGCCGGTTGTTGTCTGAACTAGTTATTTACGGGCAAGTTTTTTTTGTGTTAAATTACAGTAATTTTACTCATATTATAAATACGAATATTTAGATGGATGGATGTTTGTTTGAAGGTATTTCCGGAACTTCTGATCGAATCTCACTAAATTTTGGTATAGATGTAGAACGTAGTCTGGAAGAACACATAGGCTACTTAACTTTTTTTTAATTTCGTACGGACGGAGTCGCGGGCGACAGCTAGTATATAATAGATTTTTTTTTAATTATTTTTCTTATATTGTCTCATATTCATTAGTCTTATAGTTTATTAGTTCTTTACTAAGAAAATGTGTTTTGTAGATAAACAATGTCCCTGGTCAATGCAGTTCACATTGCTAAAACAACAAAATTATTACTCACCTGTAAGCCTGCTGTAAGTTATAAACTTATTATTTTTTAAATGGTAGTCTAAATAAAAAATGAACCATTAATAAGATATCAAAATTAACAAGAATACCCTATGACGTAATATAATAATATATAATATTTTGTAACTGGGCAATGTATTCTTCTTTGAAACGAAATAATAAAAAAGGAACCTACTAAAACTAAACTAAACTAAAAATATACATAATTTTAGATTAAAGGATATCTTATAACAAGGGTTAGTTCGTCGCGAGCGGAGTCTTTTCTGTCAGGATGTAACGCAAATTTTCTTGAAGCGCAGTACGTCGACTGGGTGAAGAAAAATCCAGTTGATTCCGTAAGTAAACCGCTCATCGATATATTTTAATCCTCATATTCATTATTTGACAGACTTTATATTTTAACTTTACATACGACATAAGTTTGTACCCTTCTTCTTCTTCTTCTCAGCCATGAGACGCCCACTGCTGGGCATAGGCCTCCCCCAAAGATCGCCACGATGACCGGTCTTGTGCCACCCGCATCCAGGACTTTGTACTCTAGCAGTAGTTAAAGTAATATTTAACATATTTCAGTCTTGGGATTGTTTCTATGAAAGTCTAAACGCGAACGAATTGAAAATTGAAGACATTGAAGATGAATTCACACCAAAAAGTGGTGATTATTTATTTTTTCTTTTTAATAATAAAAGAGATAAAAGGATTATCTCTTTTATTTACCTATACTCTTGTTCCCAAACAATGAATGAAATACCAAAATCTTATATATTATATAAATTCTCGTGTCACAATTTTTGTTCCCATACTCCTCCGAAACGGCTTGAACGATTCTCATGAAATTTTGTGAGCATATTGAGTAGGTCTGAGAATCTGCCAACATCTATTTTTATTCCCGCGCGGCCGGAGTCGCGGGCGACAGCTAGTATATTATAATACTTTAGTATTTCCAATGATTATCTATAATAACATTGTAAAACCTTGTTTAGGTGAACAAAGTTGTAAGAAAGTCGATCCCAAGGATACGATAAAGCTGCACCTGGCCGTGCAACATTTGATTCGAGGCTTCCAGGTGAATTTGCAACATGAACATGGCCTAATTTTACTTAGCATAACGCTAAAGAGCTAAACCACGCTATTGTAGCCAAACGCATCTGCTATTCCTATTCCTAAGAAAATATTTTTACCATTTCTTTCTAATACTACATCGCAATCCTAAAGTTTATATTGAGATATTTTCTACCAGGACTAAAAGTAGATGAAATTCTTTTGATCATATCTTGTATTTAGATCCGCGGACATCTGCTGGCTCAGACGGACCCGCTAAACATGGCAATTGCCGCCCACTGGATCATGCGCGCCAAGAACCAGCGCATGAAAGTCGCGGGCGACATCATGGCCTACTTCGAGGCCAAGTTCGTAGCTAGAGAGCTGGGAACCGTTCTTAGTATGTGTTACTTAACACGTTCCATGGGATTTTAGTGCCAAACCGATTTACTAGTTTGTCGAGTTCATATATTTCATCCTTAAAATATTAGATTTAGTTTTATCAATATTTTTAAAGTTGTCAGAAGATAACAAATGTGTATTTAATTTTTATTAAGGTACATAATTTGTTATGTTTTTAGCTGACGCTCATATGAATATGAAATTTGAACTTCCTCCAATGTGCTATTTGGGAGGAAAGGAGCATGAATTGACATTGAGGTAATCATTATCATTACCTAAGTACTTGTTAATAACTAAGTACGAATACATATTTTTTAATTTAAGAAAAAGAAACAATCAATGTTTTTTTTAATCGTTTAGTGGACGATCATCACATTTTTTTTATACCAATCTTCGAAAGTACCATATTGAGTTCGGCCGTTAAATAGGCTCTGAAATGAGGTCTGTATTGTTTAGCGAGATAAAGAGGCGTCTGGAGAATGTGTATTGCGGACCAATCGGCGTAGAGTACATGCACGTGCACGACATGGACAGCCTCCAGTTCGTGCGCGAGAACCTCGAGACGCCTGGCATCATGGAGAAGACGCCCGAGCATAAGAAGCTTATACTGCGCAGACTCACTAAGGCTGTCTTGTAAGACTCAAATTATTAGATACTGTAAAACGAGTTCCCGTCTAGTTGCTTCCTCTAGTCTAGCCCATACGTATCAGGCACGTGCCTGTAATAGTTAAAAGTTTGCCATTTCATTGCTTTTTCCTTATTAGTCATAGGAGGATACGCACAGAAATAGGATATTTCTCCTGTCCATGCATTTACCCTGCCAAATCCTCCAGTAGATTTTAGTACGTTTCCCCTGAAAATAGTTTAATTGAACGATCGAAAATGTGCCAATGATGTAGCTAATAATAAACAAAAATTTTTTTCGGTAGCCTTGAGAAATATTTCGCGACGAAATGGCCAGCAGAGAAGCGGTTCGGGTTGGAGGGTGGCGAGAGCCTGATCGTGATGCTGGAAGAGATCGTGGACACTGCCACAGAGCTCGGAGTCGAGTCCATCGTCATGGGCATGCCGCACAGAGGTTAAATTCTTTACATTTGTTACATGAAACAACGAAATAACACAATGCGAGGTTTGATGATACGTCTAAATGTCAAGTCGAGAAGAAATGCTGTTATGTGTGGGGCCATTAGAAAATGTTAAAAAGCATTTTATTGATGTAACAGGTCGCCTGAACGTACTGATCAACGTATGTCGGAAGCAGCTTACTGACATCTTTGCTCACTTCAGGCCAATGGAGCCCAAGGAAGTGGTAAGTTTTAGTGATACTTAAGCTGTTGTCAGTTAAAAATAACAAAAATCTCGGAACGACAACTGTTATCTATGTGCGTAGGGTTCGGGCGATATCAAATACCATCTGGGCACGTACATCCACCGCTTCATCCGGCGCACAAACCGGTACATCAAGGTGTCGATGAGCTGCAACCCCTCACATCTGGAGGTGGTGACACCTGTGGTCACTGGCAAGGCGCTCGCCGAGCAGCACTGGACCGGGGACAAGAATGGTGATAAGGTATTGTACGCTATGTTACAATGCTGGCCATACTGTCTCGAGTAAGAAGAGTCGACCTTTTTGCTGTGTTTAGGTGATGGCAATAATAATGCATGGGGACGCGGCGTTCGCGGGCCAGGGCGTTGTGTACGAGACGGCGCATATCGGCCAGTTGCCGCATTTCACGACTCACGGCTGTGTTCATATCGTCGTCAACAACCAGATCGGCTACACGACCGACCCTAGATTCGCCAGGAGTTCACCCTACTGCACGGGTACGTATCGAACTCAACAGCCAAGTTTACATTATTATTACAATTCTTTTTGTCTTCATATATTTTAGTTGATTATTGAATCAGTTGATTATATCAAAGTATCAGGGAAGATCTTAAACGGCATGTTTACGTTGTCCAGACGTGGCGAAGTGCGTCGATGCGCCAGTGTTCCACGTGAACGGCGACGACCCGGAAGCGGTGGCCCACGTGGCCATGCTCGCCATAAAGTACCGCTGCCGCTTCAAGAAGGACGTCATCCTCGACCTTGTGTGCTACCGTCGCTTCGGTCACAGCGAGGAGGACGAGCCCATGTTCACGCAGCCCTTCATGTACAAGAAGATCAAGCAAATGCCAACGGGTACATTGTCAATGTTTTATAAAGACCCGTTTTCTTGCACGATTTGCCGCTCACAATTCTAATGTATTACATTTTTCGAAACGAGTAGGAAAAAAATATTTGGCTGTTTAACATTTCACAGGCATGGTTGCGAACAGATTGTCACTAAGTGAGAAAAGTTTGAATAATGAAATCTTTTACTCCATTTATCCAAGTTGTAGGTGAGAGTTATATATGTATTGCAACAGTGGACAAGCTGTACGCGGAGAAGGTGAAGGCAGAAGGCGTGGTGACGGACGCCGACATCAAGCAATGGGAGAAGGAGTACACGGACACGCTCAATAAGCACTTCGAGCTCGCCAAAAAGATCACCAAGCTCAGTATAATGGACTGGATCGATACGCCCTGGACTGGATTCTTTGAAGCGAGAGATCCTAAAAAGGTAATCCTAATCTTATTAACAAAGTTATGGACAAATGCCATTTGGATGTTTTTGAAACAAGGATTTTTCCATCCATATAAAATGAGAATAAGTAAAAAAATACGAATTGAGATAATATGAGATTTTAAAGTCGGCTAAAAAATGAAGAAAATTACATTACAGATTGAGGAAACCGGAGTATGTGAGGCATCTATAATGACAATCGCGAATCACTTCTGTAAGCCGCCGGAGCCGTGGGCATTCGAAACACACAAAGGAATTAACAAGATTTTGCAAAATCGAGAGAAAATGGTATGCATTGAAATGACTAAGTACCGCATTCAGAATCATTAAGTTTAATATCCTTTTTTGTTAATTTAGTCTGAGAAATGTACAAGGATATTTATTATAAGCCCTCTAATGCCAATTGAGGTCTCTGAGTGCGGCAATAAGTTATCTAACATAACCTCAAAATCTGTAACCTAACTTGTTAGTTCGGTGCCTTCTCGTTTAAAAAGTGTTAGGAGTAGGAATTGTGATACAGGTGAAAGAAGGCGTCGCGGACTGGGCGATGGGCGAGGCGCTGGCATACGGCTCTCTGTTGCGGGACAACATACACATTCGGCTCACCGGCGAGGACGTGGAGCGCGGCACTATGGCGCACAGGTAACACTGCCGCGACCTTCCTCTGATGAAATGACCAAACAAAAATATATCGGTAGCTCTATTGACGTGTGTTTTGCAGACATCACGTGTACCACCACCAGGGCGTAGATGGCGCCACCTACCGCGTGCTGGACACCATATACCCGGACCAGGCCAAGTACTCGTTACACAACAGCTCACTATCAGAATTTGGTTAGTTTCCAAATTCGAATATTTCCAAAAACATTTAATAAAAAATCGCCCTTTATGCTTCACAGATAACTACTTTCTTTTATTTCGTAAAAATTTAAAAGTTATGCTATCCGTGTTTAGTTTAAATTTAATTTGCATCTTTTAATACTTAACTCTGTTTTTCTGCAGGAATTTCTAATTTCTAACCCATTTTTTATTGCCATTATTTCTCAAGTTTCTTGCCCCACTGTCTGCCAGGTATCCTCGGCTTCGAGACCGGCTACTCGTACTACAGCCCACACCAGCTGTCTATCTGGGAGGCGCAGTATGGCGACTTCGCGGACACCGCGCAGCCCGTCTTCGACACCTTCACCAGCAACGGCGAGAGCAAATGGATCTGCCAGTCGGCGCTCGTCGTCGCCCTGCCACACGGCATCGACGGCGCGGTGAGACACACAATCTACATTGTATACAAAGAAGAGAAATTGTGCATGACACTAACCAGTCTTTAGACCTAGGAACTGGATACTTACTGAATTATGCAACGTATCAAGTCGAATTAATAAAAAGTTACTACTTATATATTTAGCTTAATTTGTTTGCAGTCGTTTTGTTGCTTAAAGTAATAATTAAGTAGTAATAATTGTTGATCCCCAGGGTCCGGAGCACTCGTCGGCGCGCGTGGAGCGCTATCTGACAATGTGCGATGATCACGACGACCAGGTGCCCGATCTCGACGACAAGGATATGGCCTGTTAGTATCGTCATTGAAACCACAATGTGCTTTTCGTTCACGAAATATACAACAAGCATTATACATTTATTTTTATTTATTTATTTACATGTTTCTACTTTGCATTTTGACAGTGAAACAGCTGAAGGTGGCTAACTGGATAGTGTGTAACGTGACCAATCCGGCGAACTATTTCCACCTGATGCGGCGCCAGATCGCGCTGCCTTTCCGCAAGCCGCTGATCCTTTTCACACCGAAGGTCGGCCTCAAACACCCATACTACAGGTCGCCCTTCAAGGATTTCTATCCCGGCACGTGCTTCCGAAGGTAAGTTATTGAAATGAACTTGTAGAATTAATTACACTAGTTCGTATAATTAATTGGTTCAAACAATTTAGTAACTAAGTGAAGAAGTTAGTGTAGACTTCGATATCTATTAGTTGTTGTATTTTAGGGCAATACCAGAAGACGGTCCGGCATCGAAGAATCCGTCTAACGTTAAGAAGTTAATCTTCTGTTCTGGGAAAGTGGCGATCACGATCACAGAGCTAAGAAAAGAGAAGAAACTAGACGATAAGATAGCGATGTGCCGGATTGAGCAGTTGTACCCGTTCCCTTACGATATCGTGCTGAAGGAGTTCTGCAAATACCCGAAGGCTACGGTAGCTTTCTGCCAGGAGGAGCACAGGAACCAAGGGCCCTGGCTCTACTGTAAAGTCAGGATGGAGAACTTGTTTGGGAAAAAGATTGAGTAAGCATTTATTTTTGTAGCTGTCGACTGAGCTTTATTTGCCCTTGGTATTTGTTACCTTATGATGTTATGATTGTTTTCTTCTAACGGTATATCTTAGGAATTTAAGGATGCAAAATATTAAAACTATCTTTTAGAATTTTCTCACTGGTAGTTGAAAATAACCGTCCAAATTTATATTACTTTTTGGTATATTTACAATATACATTTTTTACAGATGCATCGCGCGGCCGCCCAGCTCTGCATCAGCGACGGGAATCAAGTGGCTACATCAAAAGGAGTTGAAAGCCTTGAAAGAAGCCATTATCAAAATCTAGACTTTTGTGCACTGCATTTGATACAGTTTTATCAAATTGTAACGATTATATTGTATGTACACAATCATATGGTTGTTTCCTAAACATGTTAAAATGTTCCCAAGTTGAATGTTAATTAAAACGAAATTATAAAATGTGAAAAATTTATTTATGCATTTTCTTTTACAATAATTGATTTTTTTTGTGTCACTTTATAATGGATTTTTTAACTAATAACATACCATTTTATATCACGAACATAAATGTTGAGCTATTCGCCGCAAATTAACTCGCAAACCAAGATAACGGCGAAATATAAAAATATAGAAAATTACGAGAGGTTGGCATTAGGCATAATATCTTCCAAAAATACTGTACAATAAATAATTAAAAATACTGAATTAAAAAAAAATATTAAAATGCATTTAACTTTCAGTCTATTAAGCTTAAACTATTTGTATGTAAATAAAAAATTATTCGTAAAAGTTTCCTAGCCATGGGAAAAAAGGTCATTAAATTTCAACTAAAAGGCATCGTAAAAGCGTGATGCATATCAAAAATATATAATTTATATTTGATTGTTAAAATGTATACATATAGTATATCAGTTTGATCACAATGCAACTATGTTGCTTCTATTGACAATAGCTATTTTAAAAATATATTTACGTTAAGGTCACTGACCTCTATAAAAGTGGCATAAGCCGTCGTATTTTGTGCCGATTTGCTTTTCGCCATCTTGGCGCTGATGGTAGCGGTTTGTAGCGGTGGTGAGGATAAGAACTAATAATAGATATAGACAACGTAGCATAAGCTGCAATTTCGAAGCAATAATCTACCCATTTATAGAAATCAGTGTCAAAAACACATACAACATAAAAATGTATAATATTTTGTAAATTACAAATAAAATAAAACAAAATCGTGCACAAAGGAACTGTCACCGGAAATATCAATGACATTTGAGGTTATGTAATACCCTGCAATTTCAAATAAATTGCAGGCCAGTGTTGCTATTGTTGTACCATTATTAACTTACACGTAACACTAATTAACCTTTTAATCAGCCTTCTTCGCCTTCGCCTTAACTTTTTCTTTGACGGCGCGTTTGGATGGATAGATGACGAACAACGCTAGCTGAATGGAGCATAGAATTACAGCGACTACATTTTGAATCTGGAATAAAATGAAACCTCTTTTGAACTGTGGAACATTACCAGCCAGTAAGTCAAAAGTTACACGAATATTCGCTATGCAGAAAATGCAAATCACCTCAATATAGAAAAAACGATCATCGTTATCTTATCGTAAAAAAATATCTTACACGTTATGAATTATGGTTAACACTTTTAAATTACGTATTTAGCAGCTAAAGGACAAAACGTAATATGTAACTTTATTTCTCGAAGTATTTATTAAGGGTCCGTCACATATAGAAACTTAGAAAATAAAACAAATCATGTACTTTTTAAGTAACTATTTGATTAAAATATTGACTGTAAAAATTATCTAAATCCGATAAATTCATAGCAACTTCATCATCCAGCTATGGGTCTTCTTTCTCTATCTTTCACACAACTTGCATATCTTCCTTCTCACTCATGTAACAAAATATGTGAAGCGACCTTACTTTTGATTCCCATCAAATTGTCAATACAAAATATCGTCAGTTTATGTGACTTTTTGTGTGAATACTTACAATGAGGAACTTGTTCTTCAAGATGATGCCGTAGAGCAGCCACATAAATGTGACGATTGCTCCAGAGAATATGATGGGGAACGGCAGGCCCTCGGTGCTCTGGTTCTTTATTATTTCCCTCTGGAAAACAAAAAGAGCGATATAACGGTGAATCTCCACTGTCCTAACATCAGTATTGCCATCCCTGTTATTGTCTTTGTGAAAAACAGAGATAACTACAATGTACAAATATGTAAAACATTAATACTTAGAATCATTTGGCGCGAATTGCGCGCTTTCGTTACAAAGTCAAGTGTCAGATTAGTGAGGGGACATAAACGTTGACATTTTATTAAGACTAGTGCTGCGCCGGTAAACCGGCACAGTGTCGGCTTTTCTTCCTAACAGTGTATGACAGTTAAAATAACGCTAATTTATTTCATATTTTTCTAATTAATAGTATCATGATAAATGATTACGTGATTTAATTTTGTAATTATAATACAACAATTAGTATCAATGAATGAATGTAGCGGTTTTAAATTGCATATCTCATTGAGTTACTATATCAGTTTAATAAATTAATCGATATTTGATGATTTGTTATCAAAGAAAATTACATATAGATGATGCCAACAAATAATTATGAAACGATAACGGTACCAACAATACACACAATCTCAAAAATAAGTTGTTAATTGCCTACATCATTTTTATTTTTATCTATCACATATCTTAGATTAAAATGTCTGGATGATGTTGAAGTACGAATATAGATAAATAACAATTCAAGTGTCTGTATGTAATATAAAACGTCAGCAATATGCATTATATACACAAATAAAAAAAAGTTTGCGATCACTAGCAAACATTTATATATTTTTAAAGTTAATCCAGTAAAATATTATACGCAAATGGATTAAGAAAAAAAAAACAAAATCTTATACCTGATATAGAATTTTTTTTATAATTTCTGTCTGTGTGTCCAGGAATATTCGAAGCGTCAATAGCCTAATCGTAAATTGTGCCGATTTTCGATAACGTAGTCGGGGGTTCGGACCCTGTCATTCAACTATTGTCGTAAACCATGTCCTAGCATAAGCATAGTGGGGATGTACAAGAAATATTAGTGAATAGTAGTGGAGCCTACGTTACGATCAAAAGATACAAAATAATATTCACGACATACTTACTCTGCTGGCACATCGACCCAAAGTGGGTCTTGGCCTCCGACATATCCACCACATAGCATAGTAAATATTTGAATGTAATAAAAAAATATAAAATAAGATACGTAACTCACCAAGCCAAACAAGGGTGATGCAATCAAGTAGAACATAAAAGCGGTGATAATAGTCCCGAATCTGTTCTCAACGAGCTTAGGATCTTCAATCTCAGCGTATCCCAGTAGTGCGACCGTGAAGGCACCCGCTACACCGATCTTAGCCCACACCTTGATCTTCTCAGAGGTGTAATGGAAGTAGACCAGCACATAGACAATGTTCAACGCCAAACCGACCAGGTTTACTTGGATCATTTTGTCATCGCGTAGTATGTAACCGTATTTCAAGTTGAGCAAGCTCCTGTTGACAATATTGTTTGATGATGGAAGAGCTACGGTGATATACATGGGCGTCGTAAGAGGAGTGTAGGGAACAGTATGTGGACACTAGGTGACCTGCTTGCTCATTTGTCACATTATTGCGAAAATATACAAATTAGTATACAACAGTATACACTAACATGATAAATTACGCTCATTATTCTACTGATTGCAAAATAGCTGGCAACACTTGTGACGTCAATTGAAATTAACGAAACCAGCAAAATGGCAGCAAAAATCGTCGATTCCGCTAAGTTTTGTGCAAGGTCATAACCTCGTAAACATTTTGAGAATTCAACTTATATCTTTATATAATTACAAATAAAACGAAATATTGTTATAGATATATTCATAAACTACATTAGCCCAACATAGAATTTACTGCTCCACTCAGAATTCTTTAATGATTTCTCTAAGTCTACATTTAATCTGGTCATTCTGAGTAAAACAGGTCACACATACGTTGGTCAGGTACACGTTTGTAAGGTTACTCACATAACAACACCTCCGAGGAAGGGGGCTATGGTGATCCCTCTGGTGTTGCCCTGTTTGTACACGTCGTAACAAATGAAGGAGCCGGAGAACATCTGCCCTATGGTGACGATGGCTGCCACGGTGCCCACCAACTCCTTGTACGGCTGGAGTACATCGGATAGCATCTCCATCTTGATAACTGTAACAATCGTGTATTTCTTTGAACCTCTTGGTTCAAAGTAGACCTGGTGAGGTTTTACTACGGCGGAAATAAATTTCCTAGTTCAAGACGACATGTAACGGAGGGTTCACCAAAAGCAGTTCAATTTTTAAATGTATTCACGTTAATAAATAATATTTGGAAATCTCTGAGGTTTTTGTGAAGGGCTTTATGATTATGAAAACGAACCGTGTTTCTGACTTGCTTGCAATCGAATGACTTGAATTGTTCAGAATCCTGTTCAAGTAACGAACGTTAACTAGCGTGGTCAATTAATGGTTGTTCAAATTAATTTAATGAAAGATGTTATTAAAGAAAATGTAGTTACATTTGTTTTAGAATCATTAGCTAAGGTTTCCGAAACCAAAATCCCTGTACAATACATACCGTCTCATTATCTTTGACAAGAGATAACAATATATGGTTTATACAGGACAACGACAGTTTGCCTATTTTTTTTTCTGCCACAAATGAGTTAAACAACACTTAGAACCTTGTATTTGTTTCGGTTTTATATTTTATGTATACACGGCGATAAAATTAATGTTTAAATAATTATTCACCGAATATTTAATTACAAAAACGATGGTAATAAAAAAAGATCGAGGGCAAATTTTCTTTTAACAACATCGAAAATCCATACATTAATTTTAACGTCGCTCTAAATATACGACCTTGTTATCTTACTTTGTACTTAGTCACAATTGAAGCGAAAAAGAAAATTAACGATCCATAAATTACGAGTTTCAAAGAGCACTCTATGCTCACGTTCAAACGATAAAATAGTTTCCAATTTCCACTGCCAAAGCTCCCTGACAAAAACATACTGTCATCCCTTTCATTCTCTATCAGAAAAACTGTGATAGCAATACATTTAACATTCACGTGGAACGTTCGAACGTAGAATACAGCTCAATGACTTCTCGCAATCACATTGGCCGGACTACATAAGAAATCGGTCATTTAACGAGATACACTAGACCGTCCCCAAACAATCACATCCTAGTCTTCAATTGAAATAAATAGACTTAAATTGATACATGTGCGTCATGTACACACCCATTAAATAGTATTACGTCATACTTTAGCATCGTAATAAATGGTATTGTTTCGCGCGTAATTTAGCTAATGCATGTAATCATTGTTTACCGCCAAAATTGGACAATGGCGGCCATCTTTGGTTTGGTTTGATTCAATCATAATCATCGGGATAATAATGATACAAATTATTATTTGTAATTTATTAATTATTATCTGTAAGTAACAAATAACCCTGTGTCTTTAATTAGTTATATAAAAAAATCTTAAACGACATGTAAAATCCTGTAAGACATGTTTCTAATAACCTCCTGTTCAAACAATCTTATTTTTCAGCTAGGTCGACAACAGATAAGATTCGGATTCCATAACACATACTGCATTATCACCGGGCCATTGTGAATGTCGCCTGTTTGTAATTTGTCTAGGCAAACAATAAAGATTTGGGTTCAGATTTTTTTTAAATACATTAACAGGTGCAGCTAGTTTTTCTAACAAAGTTTCAGAAGTAGAAACCCACGCTTACATAAGGAAACAATAAGGATAATAAAGTTCCTTGGTGTCTCCAAAACATCATAGTATTGTGTGCATTCGCTATTGCTACTTCCTCACCCGTACACAAGGCGATACAGAGAACATTTTAATATTTTACGTTTGAACACAGTAAAAACTAATTACATAGTTTAACTTATCAAAAAATCCAAATAAAATCAAACTGGTTTCTTGACTAATCCCACCCAGTTAAAAATTTTCTAGTATTATATTAATTTAGAAATAAATTATTCAAGCCATTGCAGCACACATGTTTCCGATGTCAGTTTAAAAATAAAATCTTTAAGATGTATTATAACTAGCTCACTGCCCACACGAGCGGATTGTACGAACGACTTAAAAGAAATCTACGGTTCTTTTTACATAATTACAAGGCTTTTTCTTCAGAAACAACTGCAAAATCAAAAAAATTTGCAAAGCTGAAACCGGTACATACTTATAACTGTGCCCCGTAACACAACTAATGTATATGTTTAAAAAAAATTAAAAAGAAAAAATTCTTCAATAAGAGAGTTTACTGAATCCAAGGAAACAAAATCTACAGCTTTATAAGAAAGCAATTATATGTAATAATCCTCTCTTATAAAAAGCTGGTCAATTACACAGAGCACTAAGATGCGCATCAATAAAAACGTCGCTCGTGTGGTTAGGCTCTAACATTTTTATATCGAAGTTTATGTTAATAATTATAAAAACTCAACGGCGAGTTGTTGAGACTATCTTGAATTATTAAATAAGTGCTATATAATTTGTAATTGTGTTTATTTAACTCTAATATGCTATGTTTGGTCATTGTATACTAAAAGAATCAGTTACAATAGATTTGTATAGTTTGAATGCACAAAGGGTTAACAATTAGAAAATGTCAAGAAGGTTGCGAGGAATAAGCTAAAAGTACAGACTGACAAACAGTTTGCATGTTCCCAATGCATTGCTAAATCACTGGACAGATTACAACAAAATTATGCGAGGGTGATGGAAGAATACTAGAGAAGGTTTGTGCACTATAAAATTTAAAATTAAATTGTGTAATAAAATTGTTGGTTGCACTATAATATTTTTTTAAATCATTTTGGTTATTTAAATTTATTAATTTTTTTTGACTGCTATTACAAGCTTTACAGTTATCTAATAAAAAAAACTATGCTACACTATCAGAATGATTAAAATGTGAGTAATTAACCTTGAAGTCACACTTTCCTTTATTGAACTTGTTTAGTAGCAAGGTAACAATTAGTTTAAAAAATGTAAGAGAGATTATATAAGGTTTTATACTCTTGGTATAAAAACTATTTGTGTCATTTTTTAAACTTGAAATTATTGAGATATTTATCTTAGTTTAAGCTTAGTTCAAATTAGAAAAGTGGTTATGAAAAACTAAAAAATCAGTTCTAAGAAAGCAAAACTTGATTAGTAAATAGCTATAAAATAAAACTTTAAATTCTAATTCATTTGTTAACATAGTCAACTAAAGCTTGAATCTCACATAACAGTGACATGACATAAAAAATATTATTGCATCATATTAAAAAGTAAATAAACACAGATACATAAATGTGTTTTCTTATTGGTATATAACAGGTTTTACAGAAAATATAAATTACCTGCCTAGGATTAATTTAAGGTTATTAATATGTCTAACAGACTAGTATTAATATACCACGTTAGATAGTAACAAGATAATAGTATATAGTTAGATAATTATGATTAGAACATGGAAATCAGACCTTTATAGATTCAGATTAAATTTCAATTGAAATGGTTAAGTTACTCAGAAATAAAAAAGACGGCCTATTTATTTGTCAGTTATCACTTAAAGACTTACAGTTCACTAAACAGCGCCTTTTTCACAAAGAATTAAACTTAATAAAAATAACTTATAAAGTAAAACCTTGCGGTTTTACCGATGTAAAATAATACACCTTTAAACTGTAAAGTTTACTTTGGAACTGAAACCGATGACAGCTTTTGACAGTGACATGGACAACGACAAGTGACAACTGGATGCCATGTTCATTTGACACACAAAAAGTTACCAGCTCTTGCCTGACGTTGTCCAAGGATTTGATATTTAAAAAACAAGATTCTACTACAAGCTGTGGACAAAGTAAAGATTTTTTCTTTTAATCTGTGGTTGTAGTTGACATTTAGCAATTTTTCAGTTTTTCTCAATTTTTCACGATTTCAAACATTTTCAGGCATCTCAATCTATTTTAAGACGAATGACTGATAAGGGTTTCCCTGAATTCTTGATTTCACCAGCTTCTTCCACGTTATGATTTTATATGAGCGTAAAATAGAACAAGAAAGACTATTCCATGAATAGTGCATAGACTGCAGTGGTGGACTTATAGGGACAATAAAATAATATGCAATGGACAAACAAGAGTTGGAGCGGACGATGGGTGTACGGGGTGCTGTTGTTAATGATATGTGCATTAGCAGCTGCACAGGATATCGGTAATCCATACGAGATTTTAGGCGTCCACCGCAGAGCTACGCTGCCCGAAATTCGCAAGGCTTACAGACAGTTGGCGAAAGAATGGTAAGTTTTAAAATAAAAATATGCATCTTATTAGCGTCCTTTGTCATAAATTAACTCATTAAAAAATCACCCAAATGGTTCCTCTCCCCATAGTGAATAACTCTTAAAGTGGGAAATTTCTATTGAATATTTTTATTTTGTTTTGCATTGTATTACTTCAGAGCTAAAATAGGTCTGCATTTCGACTATAGTTTGATTTATCTATCTAATGGTGTAAGATTTTCTTGCATTCATAGGAAACATAATGAGTTCAAATTGTCAATTTTTGTAGAAACTTTAAAAATAAAGAATTACAAATTGCATTACAGTATTATGAATACATGATATAACAATTTATGTACTTTGCTACTTGTACAGTATCTATATTTATATGTCCTAATTACAGTACTAATTACTTAAACAATTGTACAGGCTTTATCATACAATTAGTTAAAAACTAGATAAACTCTTACTTAATATGTCAAACAAATACAAGCATCAATGCATGTTATTATGTTGCTCTCAATATAAATAACTTTACAGGCATCCAGATAAAAATGAAGACCCAAATGCGGAATCACGCTTTGTTGAAATCAAGCAGGCATATGAACTGCTATCTGACATGGAACGGCGGCAGGCATATGACCTTTATGGTATAACCAATGAAGATGAACATATGTACAAACAACGACATGATTACAGCCAATATGCAAGGTTTAGGTAAGAGATCCATTGGGCTATAACTTTGTGCTATGTGTTAAAAACAAACAAAGTTTAATCTTATATACAATGTAAAGAGAAGAATGTTTAAGTGGAATTGTATCAATAATAAATATATGATTAATCATTTATATAAGCATAGTCCAATTGATGAATCACAAATTTTTACATAGATAGTCACCATAAACATGATTGTTACAGCAATGACCCGTTCGAGGAATTCTTTGGCACGCACTTCCGAACACAAGACCAAGATATTACACTGTTCCACAAATTGTCTGTCACAGCACGGTGAGTTCATTATTATGTATTATATAGATATAAGTAGTAGATAAGTCTTTTTCTTATGTTATATAAGTATTGTGATAAAAGCTTACAAGTGCATAACTTAATGAGATTTCTAAAATCTACAAAATTATGTATAAGTTCATTATATAAAAATTATTTACAATGATATGTCCACTTTCCATCTAGCTTACCAATAATAAAATGAATAAAAATTTCTATTTATCAAATCTTTCCAGACATTTTGAGAACCACATTATGGAGAAAAGTGTACACACACCAGCATTAGTTCTCTTCTATACGGACTGGTGCTTTGACTGTGTTCGTTCCGCTGCAGCTTGGAGAAGGCTGGTGGAAGCGCTGCAGCCATTGGGTATCACCCTGGCTACAGTTCACGCAGGACATGAGGCAGCTTTGGCTCGACGTGTAGGCGTACACGGAGTGCCATGTCTCACTTTTGTTATTGATAAACAAGTCTACATTTATAAGGAAAGTTTGGGATCTATGCCCAAGATATTGGGTAAGTTATAACATATAACTGTCGCCCGCGACTTCGTTCGCGCAGAATCAAAGTAATAACATGATTAGTAGCCTATGTGTTCTTCAAGACTATGTTCCACATCTAGGCCAAATTTCAATGAAATCCATACAGCCGTTTTGGAAATACCTTCAAACAAACATCCATCCATCTAAACATTTGCATATATAATATTATAATAATAAGATAGTTAAATCTAAATTCTAGTATTTTTTTGTGAGTTTGTGAGAATTTGTGGTGAAATTGCAGAGTTCGTCCGTTGGAAGTTCCCATACAAGTTGGTGGTGAATTTAAACGACTATAATGTAGACGCGTTTGTAAGCGATTTCGAGGACAACCGCGTGAAAGCACTCATCTTCGAGGAGCGGCCCAACATCCGACTGAGATATCTTATCACCGCTTTCCATTATAGAGAGAGGGTGTCATTTGCGTACGTATTTATCCAATTTATTGTTAAATTCATCAAGCATCTCTAAATACTGATGAAATCGTCAAGTAATGTTATACCTTGCATTTTAAAATAAATTTAACTTTTACTGGGAATGTCTTGTCGGATTCCCAGTTTCGTGGACATGACGTCGCGGGAGAGTGGGAACGTTACGTCACGGTTCAAGGCGCAGCGCAATGTAGACAACATGGTGCTGCTGAAGGAGGATAGCGCGGTGCCGGCCGCCAGCGTCAGCACCGCGGAGATACCTACACAGACGTTGCGTCAGCTTATCGACGCCAACAGGCTGCTCACCCTGCCGCGGCTCTCCTCGCAGGTACACCTAGACAAAAGTAAACTAACAATAGCTCAGCTCAGTAATATGATTTATCGTTGGTTTCTGAGACCGAAATCTTTGTATAAAACACATGTAAGTTTAACAAGTAAGTTTTATACAGGGATTTTGGACTTTGAACTAAAGGTCACTTATCAATGGTCATAGTTGTATAAATGTAGTTAAATTATTGATTACATTATTATGATAACAAAACTTTGTTATGGTATGGTGTCGAAGTATGTTTCCAGTTGGAATATAATTTCAGAGTGTGCTAGAAGCTGCGTGCCCGGTGGAGTGGCGCGCGGCGCGGCGGCGGCTGTGCTGTGTGGCGCTGGGTCCGCGCGGCGTGGCGCTGGAGGAGCTGCGCGCGCTGGCTCGCGACGCGCCCGACCGGCTGCGCTACGCGTACGTCTACACGCACGCACAGCCTGACTTCGTGCGCGCACTCGCCAACGGCTCCGGTCAGTGTTGCCATACTCAAATACATCAATATTCTTTTTTTATCGTGTACTTCTCCGTAAAGGTATAAAAGACAACAGCAGGAAATATTTAAATATTCTTCTATAATTTATACAGGTATAGATATATCGGAGATGGAGCACCGTATCGTAGTGATCTGGAGACGGGAGCCGACTCGCATCCAGTACGAGTGGCTGAACGAGACGTGGCCGACGTGTGCGGCGTGCGGCGCGGGGGGTGCGGCCGGTGCGGGGGGCGACGGGTACGAGGCGACACGATACCAGCAGAGGCTCAACGACACCAAGAGAGCACTGGATAATCTCATCAAGCGACTACTCAAGCCCACCGAGATGATGGCATACGAGACACATGTACAGGTACGACATAAATGTTCTACTTTAAATAGACCTCATTATGAAAATAATCCAACATGATTGTAATCCAAGCTTGAATTTGGGAGGATGAAAAAAAAATTGGAGTTATAAAAAACTGACAAGTCAAAGCATATAAACGGCGAAATACAAAATAATAAATTGTTAATAAAAATGCATAATATGTACAGGAGCTGGTTGACGAGGCGGCGCGCGGGGCGGCGTGGCGCGCGCTGGCCCGGCTGTGCGAGTGGGCGGAGCGCGCGGCGCTGGCGCTGCGCACGCACCACGCCCTCTCCGCACTCTCCGTGCTCGCTACTGTCGCTGTCGTGCTCGCCGCCGGATATCTCATGGCCTATCTCATGTATAACACATCACCATACATCTTTTCAAATATCTTAGCAGCTCAAGGTCCTTGGCACTACACTGAGCCCCCTCGCACGAAGTTAAGAGCCGCCAAGATATCTGAAAATTTCTACACTGATCTTAAACCCAGCGCTTTTTAATCTGATTAGACACCCCCTAAGGGGTCAACAATTCAGTAACTAAATTTCCGCAATTTAATATTTTTTCCTTGTCAAAAATTGCCAAGTCACACATAATTTCAGTGGTGGACCATTGCGTGGTTTATTCGATGCCCACTCCCTTGTGTTTAAGGCTCGTGTATAAAAACTAAAACAACACTATTTTTAGGCGTGTTAACATATTTAATTTGTGCTGTTAATATTCCAGACGTTTGGAAGAAGAATCCGTACAGAAGCAGAAAGAAGAACGAAGACGACAAAACGGCGGCAGCAAGAAAGTAATGAACGAGCCTTCACTAGAACTGAGGCTGCATGAGCTGCGAGCTGAGAAGTACAATGGTCTGGTGCGGTAAGTAATTTATTACAGGAAACGTATTCAAGTAAACGTACTCAAATATTAAAAACTGGCATCATTAGAGATATAATTTATTTGTTAGGTATGCTATAACTCGTTTCCAACCTTCATAAATTCTAATCAATATTTTAACGAGATGGGTCACATGTAAGTGGTTCGGGCTTAGAAAGTCTAGGAAGTCTAGGGCTAGTTTTTTTTTCTTGTAGTTTTTTGAAATTTCCCTATGAATATTGTGTAATAATGTATTTATATGGGTTACAAGTTTAATGAAGCCCGGCTGCCGCACGATCGTGGTGCTGGTGGACCTGCAGAGCCGTGTGCAGCTGCTCTCTAAGTTCCACAAGATCGTGTGGCCATATCGCAAGTACGTATACAAATATATTGCTATATGTATACTATTAAATATATGTAGTTGATGTTTGTTCCAACATGCAAACATTGTGGTGTTGTGCAAGGAATAAGACGCTGGTGTTCGCGTACCTGTGCGTGGAGCGCAACGTGGAGTGGTTCCGGCGCGTGCTGCAGCTGTCGCTGGGCGGCGGCGAGCTGCGGGTCAACGCGCGCAACTGTGTCGGCACCGTGCTCGCCCTCAACCCGCACCGCAAGTACTTCTGCATCTACCACGCCAAGCATCCGGAGTGCGCCAAGCCGCACAAGGTTAGCCGACCCATACACACCCCATACACACCCCATACAACAACCTCACATCAACATCAACAGAATGACTGAACGAATGATTAATAAAAAGTGAAAGTGAATCTAATTAGTAAATAACTTGACGTGAATGTATAAAAGGTGATTAAAGTAGTTTTGAAAGAAAATTGGACAATTATTTCTATTTTTTATTTCAATGTTCCTGAATCAGTGAATAATTTGTGTGTCGATTCAGCGCATGAGCCGCATGACGCGCTCGCTGGGTGGCTGGGCGGCGGACCCTGAGGCAGGAGCCTTCATCGGCTTCCACACCGAGCCCGACTCCTCCTCTGACGAGGCGCCCGACCCACCTGTATTACTGCAAGGTACCCATACACAATCACATACATTTGTTACAGCAACTTACTATCGATACTAAATGGCCAATTTGACCATATACGACTTTATTCCACCTTTCTTTTGATTAATTTTGAACTTTCTAAGGTTAAACCTAGATTGTCATAAGGTGTTTCTATGGTCTAAACCACATAAGACTAGAATTTATTTCTACGTTTAGTTATTCTAATCCCAAATATTTCTAGAAAATCTCCTAGACGGTCTCCCGAACTGGTTGGACCGACTGTTCGAGGGCAGCACCCACCGCTACTACATCAACTACTGGCCCGACATGACCTCCAAGTGAGGACCAGCTGCGCAGCCAACACCTGGCTGATGATGGAACTTGTATCAGCTCAAAAGCTGATCATCTTGGGTATGTTACACTTTATTCTCGTTAACCGGTATTTAATAGCATAGATTAATTAAATGTTGTATATGGCAACTATTTTTCTTTGTCTATGGTGTACTCTAGCGGAATATCTATGGTTTGTATAATCTGGTTATTTGATATTTGTATATTGGTTTGTTAAGTGTATACGGTTTTCTCTTTTTTTATTATATGAAGGGTTTGTAACGTGACATATTTTTGTCCTATAAATAATTTATGCCAAAGATTTAAATACATAGTTAACGATGTGTAGTCAATATGTTCTTTGTCAAAATGTGTTTTTATTGTACTTTTATGTTAATAACGATAAAAGTGGAAAATGTTGTCTTGTCATTTTTATTGTTTTATATTAATTACACATTTATTTCGTTCAAAAACATTACAATATTTATAACAAACAAAAAGAGAAAAAAATCAAACAAATTACAATTAAGCGTTGCAATGCAGAACGTCCAGATCAAAGATCAAAAGGTCAGGGACAAAAGCACTAATATTCTGCAAAAGCCTTTACGCCCTCAGTACGTTAGTTACAGCAATTGTTAACATAAATGAAGTATTACCTACTACTGAATATTCCATTCGCAATTTGAAGCGTCAATAGCCTAATGGTTAAGGGTAGGGATTTCCGACCACGAGGTGGGGGTTCGAATCCCGCCATTCGACTATTGTCGTAAACCATATCCTAGCACAAGCCTACAGCTTAGTTGAAATGGTTAAAGAAATATTAGTAAATTTACAAAAAAATCTGCTAATAATTTTATAAAAAAAAGGCGGGCTAATGTTTCAAGGGTAAATTTGATATACTTACTTAATCCGATACCTCTAATAACGCACTCTTTAATAAAATATATTTAAATGTTAGTGCATGTATTTAAATCTTTGACTTTTGTTATAATTTTTGTGTAAAATGTTATATATTTAATGTATCTTTGTATTATCTGTTTTATTACTAATATTGCAATAATATATTTAATTTATGGTAACGTGTGGTCCAAGTATCATTTAAATTGTAATTCACAATTAAGGTACTGCACATTTTTTTTCCAACAATAACACATTCAATGCCACCGAGCTGCTCTATTCGAGACTCTATTTTCTAAATGACATTTTGGATTGTATATGACAACACTGAGAAAATTTATTTTAACAAAATTCTCTGGAGGCTTTATTCGCCTCACTAATGTGCTCTGGATTAGGTATCTACAGGTTACTAGCTTTCGACCACGACTCTGTCCGCTCTTAATTAAAAATAAAATAGTGGCCGATGACCTACTGAATATGCATAAAAAGTTTTATAAAAATCGGTCAATCCGTTTCGGAGGAGTATTGTAACTAACATTGTGACACGAGAATTTATATAAAAGATGTAACTGTGATCGTGGCATTGAATGTGTTAAGAGGATTGTCTATGGTTTCAGTTTTTGTAAACCGTCTTTGATATCTTTAATACTACAAATTAATTAGAAAAATGCACTTATTCTATCTCTTAGTATCGGAAATATATTAATTAGTTCGATTCTTAAATGATATACTGTAGATTTGACTCTAAAAGATCAAGTAATATAATGAATTTCCTTTATAAATCACTTTTAAACTACTCTTCACTCTGTAACCTCGACTTGCCATTATTACCTAATTAATTCAAGTGTTCAAATATAAATAAGTGGGATTATATACTGTTTGTTATGTGTTTCACTATATATAAATTCATATATTATGTAACAAATATAATTTTATCTATTCTAACAGTGTCTAGAAAGAGACAGTCAACTATTTTTGTTAAGATGTGTAACAGAGAAGCAAATTGTCTCCTTTGAAAGAGTGAGGTGTTCTTTTCTGTATAGCTATGCTTATCTTTTTGTCATTCATGTGAAGTCCTGCTTTGACATATGAGCAGTTAAATGAAGCATCTTCTAATCATTTTGACGCATTATATGTAAGTGTTGCCAATAAAAAATATTTGTTGCCGTATTGCCAGCCAGTGCTGAAATAAATTAAATGATGATCTATGATGCCGATATAAAATTTAGCTTGCCAGTTATTATTATGAAGAAAATTTGTATTTTATTTCAAGAAAGTGTCATTAACATTAAGAATATCTCTCTGGACTTTTAGTATTTTGAACAAATAAAAAAAGTATTCAAAATTTTAGCCAGATTTTAGTTAATTTTCTGATACTAGAATTTGCAAATTATGATAATGAGTAGAGTTGGACACATAAAGTATTCACAAAGTATTAAAACATCACAAATTGCTAGTCAAACTTTTTTATAAGAGACGTAGAGTTAACGGCGTAGTTATTTAAATTGTAGTGCTATATTAATGTAATAAGAATTTTATATAAAACGTACAGAAAGGACTGAAATTGAATTTAACAATTTCTTCGATTTCAGTGTGGTGCCTTTAATGTTTAATGAAATGGTGTTTTTACCATTTTTATTTCAGCTTTTATTTATAAATGTAACATAACAGTGTTACATCTATAAATGTAACATAACAATGTCACATTTATAAATGTAGCATAACAGCGTTACATTTATAAATGTAACATAATTTATGGACGTAACATTTATAATTAAATGTATGTTATAATTGCTGGGTGTGTTTTTGGCTATTGTGATAAGTCCTTTACTGTACAAGTAGGTAGAATTTCGCAGAATGGGCATATGCTAGCCACATTTAATCGGTGCACCCATAGCAAAATTACATGAACATAGACTAATCCATACAATACTTATTACTGCCATTTTTAGTGTTGCCATTAAGCAATGACTTGGATAATGATCCAGGCAAAACAATAAGGTTTTAAAGGCTATATGATTTGTATGCACGGATATTCAATAAACTGCAAAGAATTATGCTTTTAAGGTGTGTATATGTATCTTGAACTAAAAACTTGATGGATCTTAAACCGTTTTTTTATTATTTATTTTAATTTACTTTACAATAAATCTCTGTGTTTCTTTGTTTTCATTTAAGACATGAATTTATAATTATTTGTTAAATATGACCATTTTGTACAAATTTTGTTAAAGCTAAGACAAATAAATCTACCCGTTTATTCCTTGGATGACCAATTTTTCTCGATTGAATAGCAAATTCTTTTAGATATGGAGGTATTTATGGTTTAGAAATTTTAGAATAATGCGATCATTGTTTGGATTATTATAAAAACTGTATGTCTCGAAGCTAATGCATTTTTTGTATGTATCAAATTGTATGGGAAGGCACCTGACCAAAGGTACTATGAATACACTTACAAAATTTAGTATATGTTTATACAAACTTAGCATCATATATTCAAAATATTTGTTATTTTATAATCTGTTATTACAGTTTAAATGTGTTGTTTTATCTGTGGTGTGTTGCCATGTTGTGTATTGTTATATTACCACCACAGTTGGTGTCTATGGGTTGTTGTCTCTTTATATTTAATAAAAACTAAATGTACCTTATATAATGGTTTGTATTTCTTATAGGAAAATTCTGTGTATCTAAATCCTTTATTCCAGTATCAAATTTGTACAATAAAATAATAAACATTGTTCTTTGACCTTAATGACTTTAATTTATATCCTTCATCCTAATATTTTGGTTACTAATACTACTAATAAAATAAGATTGCTTCATAGAACACAATTTTAGTTGTGTCAGGATGTGAAGGGATTTGGGGGAAGGCACTGCTCAGAATACAGAGCCATAGAAAACATTGAAATTATGTTTTAAATGATATACAATTTAAATAAAAGACATTGTTTAGAATAATTAAATAATTATTTGTACAATAACACAAAACAACATTTTACTAAACAAGTTGTCTACTGAACATGTTCTTAACATTCTGTAATCTTGCTTTCACATGATTCTTATCACTTGAAGCCTTTACCTGGAATAAAAATTTATCTTACTAATATTATGAATGTGTATGTTTGGATATATTGTCATTTTTTAGATATATAATTTGTCTTTTGATGGATTTCTTCTTCTGGAACCTGAAAATACTCCTTTACGATTTGCAACACTTTGCAGACCATTGGGGCTTACTTGGAGTAACAGTTTAACTATCTTTTCACTGTCAAAACTACTATTTTTGTTAACATAAACCTACAGCAAGGTTTTGATTTAAATAATGTACACACTGGCATTGTAGGAAGATGTAACTTACCAACTATGCATGCCTAGACTTGCTGGGATTTAATTCATTTTCACAGTTGGAATATGCCAGCCCAATCCCCATGCCCATGCCGGCTATAATGGGCCATCTCCTCCGACCCAGGAATAATACTGATGTGATTGCACCAAGGGCAATGCCACCACCTGCAAAACAATAGAAATGTTTGAATAATTATTAAAAACATACATAGAATGTCACTAAATATTCCGCGAAATAGTAACCCCGACCGAAATAATTTAGTATCTCAAGATATTTGATTATCATTGATTAGTTTGTGTTTATGTACACATTTGTATGACTTAGTCTTCAATATACACCAATTTCTGTAATGATCGTTAGCGTCGTCTTTTTTGTACTTCATTATAAATACAAACTATTTTAAAAACTGATTTAATGTACAATTAATTTACCAGTTTTTATAATTCCATCTGTAAGGCACAAGTCTAACTTAGCTGATAAGTCATCGTCACCGGCGCCTTGTTTCTGTTTACCGCTCATTTTGTTAATTATTAATATAAACTTGAACAGGAGCAGGTGGTTCTAAATTGTTTATAATTTCTAACCAATGAACACAATCTTTATAAATGCAATAAGCACATTCGATCTTAGTAGCTTTTACATAATTCTTGATTGAAAAATTTACGTGACATTTGACACAGCACTAGACAATTTGACAATGACATTGACATAACCGTTATGTTGTGCTGCTATTGCAATATTTTTTTTGTTTCATCTTCCGCTACCAAATTTTTTTTTACAAAGCTCAAATATATAGATGTTGAAAGCCCCTTCAGAAGCTTTTAAAATACACGTATTTAATAACGTTATGCCATATCAAAAGATTTGTTGATACGACTAAACCTTACAAGGCAAAATAAACGAAATCATGTTTGTTAGAATTCGTTTGTAAAGCTTATAGTGTTTCAAGACGTAAGTTTAGTTGTCAATTTTGACACATTCATAAATGTCAATTTTCAATTCGGTCAGAAGAAACAAGTAAATATTACAATAAATCTTAGAAAATTAAATGTTTTCATCGTCCAAGCTAACATTAAAAGCTCGTTATGCATCAACAGTATGCAGATGGACAAGTTCATCACTGGACACAAAAGCGGTTCAGCCGCCCAACGCAAAGAAAATAACCAGTGACATGGTAGGACCACCTGATCCTGTTTCTAACTTGAGAAGGATAATTTTTAAACAACCAAACGATGAAACTAAATTAGAAAAGAAATATAGAGAACTCCGCATGGACGTCCAAGAATGGAATCAAAAGTTTTGGACCCAACACAATTCAAGATTCTTTCAGGTAATTTTTATGTAATCAATTTATTATGTCACTCAATAACAATCACATGTACATTTCGCATTCAGATTTCGTAAAATTATCAATTAGTACAAATAGAGATGATATTTTTTTTAAAACATTTTAAAAAGAAGCATCATTCAGTTTCTCACCTAAGATTTAATTATTTTTATATATATTATAGCATATTTTTCTGTGACGATTTTCAGGAACGAGAGGAATATTTGAAGCAGAATTTGCCAGAGGGAAAGCAAACTCTAACAGCAGATGAAATGAGTGTTTTCTACAAATCTTTTCTAGACAAGAATTGGAAGGCTCATATAACTTACAACTTGCAATGGTACAAAAAGAATGTAACACTACTTAAATTGGCTATTCAAGTTAGACTTAGAAGACTGTTTAAATTAAAAAATTAGAAATATTATATGAAGTTTTAATTCCAATACAATTTATTTTATTTAAACTCTTTGAAAATGTTTTTTAACAATTACATTTTTTTTTGTTGATTTAAATCTTTTAAACCAGTGTAACACATGGGAAAGTAAAGAAACATAGAAACCATTGAAACATTCGGTCAGATTGATAAGATAATTTGTATCGAAATGCCTGTTGGCAGTATTAGATGCAGATTAAAAATGATTGGTTTGTTTATAAACATTGTTAAAGTGAAAGTTAAAATAAGTAGTTTTAGACAATATTAGAATCCTTTGGCAAGAGTGACGCACTTTCGTTACCAAGTCAAGTGTCGTATTGATTAGTGAAGGCACGTCAACATTGACATTTCAATTAGGATTTTGTTCCTAACGTTAGGTCTATAATCTAGCCATGAACTAATTATCAAAAATTGTGACATACTAAATATGGGGATGAGGACCAAAATTATGGGACCTCTTTCTAGCTAGACTTAGAGCTTGTACAGCTGACAGGAAGTTTCTAAATGTGGATATATACAGGCTGATGAATTTTTATAGCAAAAAAATCGCATTTAATATTATAACTGGCATTGTAACATTTAAAAATAATAACTGACAAATGACAGAAATATGTTATAAATCAAATATGAATTTGAAGACAAATTTACTGTCCATAAAAAATAATCAGGTTCGAATATCGGAATAAAAATCGCTTTTTATAAAGTCAAAGAGAATGTATATTGCATTTAAATGGCTCCTTGGTCTTACGTTCGTAATGTGGCTTTTTGCCTGTAGTATTGATGTTTACTTTATTTCGTTAAAGGAAAACAACTATCTAGGTTAGTATGAAGAAAATTTGATACCATAAAATTGGACGAAACTCTGAAAATTTTAACTTTATATAATCTCCATTACATTTAGTTTTTTTTATAATTACTGAGCAGGGGTAGGCAGCAACTATTTAACCCTATTAACTATTGTAAATCACACTAAAAGTTCATTCTTTAATCTATTTTATTTATCAGGTACAAATGTTAAAGATGTCGCAAAAACGTACAAGAATTTAAGCGCGCGTAATAAAGAAGAACCTAATATGGATATAAATATGAATATACAAAAAGCAAAGAAAAGCTGGTTTGGTCTTTATCATTATTATGCTGTATTCTGCGTCGCTGGTTGTATTATATCTGCTTTTAGTAAAAGGAAGAAGCTTATTTTACTTGCATCATTAAAAAAAGCTTATTTCTATGCTTGCGTGCCTTCATGTATCAATACAGATAATTTAAAAAGAACCGCCAACGAAACTTATTGCACTATATCTAAACATGTACTCCAAATACGCAGTGATGTAGAAAGAGTAATTCAAAATTGTCACAGTTATTTTAATATAAAACCTGTAAGCGAAGATGATGCAACTAAAGAAGCTCTACTCAAAAAGTTAAAAGATCTTAGAGAAGAGAAGAAAAACATGTCCTTACTCCTTGCGGCTGCTATTTGCGAGAATAGGAATATTGTAGTAGGCTATCGATTGGATTCAATGGCGAAAAATAAACTGGTGGTGCAGACAAAGGAAAATGATAAAAAAAGAAAAGAATGCCAGCCGCAGTATATGAACTATCAACATTTGTACACTATAACATATCAGGAAAATATTTATTTACACTCTCAAATAAAACACTTGACGAAACTGAAGGAAATTGCCGAAAAAAATTTGTTAAATTTGGTACACGAAATTTGGCTTTCGAAAAATGAGAAACTAATGGCTTTTTGTAGTCAATTTGTTGTTCAAAGTAAAGATAAAATATTAAGTTCAGACATAAGAGCAGAAATTGAAAAGTTTTTACAAACTTCTAGTTTAGATGAAAATGAGCGATTTACGCGGCTTGATACGGGCACTAAAATGGATAATAAATGTAAATCTTTAGAATTAAAGAAAAACTTGTCTTTATCATCTAGTGCACCAAAACTCGTAGGTCTGCCTGGCGAACATATTTGGACTGTCAAAGATAGAGAAGGTTTTATAGAAAAACTTTACGAATATGACTTTGAAACTAATGGAAACACCATCCGGAGAATTAGGGAATATTCCGTTTATCATGATAAGGATTGCTTCTTTGAAAATCTTAGGTAACCATTTAGATTTCAGTAAGCCTTATAATTGGATGTGCAGTGCTATTTTCTAGCTTCTTTTTCATTTTTCAGTTCACGGACTATAATTCACGATGACGTCTACGGCGGCGGCGCTGGTGAATATAAAACGAATTTCAACTGCAATGGAATACAAAATCAACGGTTCTTGACTGGATCTCAGGCGTTTCAACTGTTTTTACAAAATACACAAAATTTTATTATTCCTGTTAAAACATTTTATGGACCTTCGATATCGTATGGTTGATTTTTATAGAATTTTTTTCTTTTTGAAATACATAATTGTTAATTTGCTTTTTGTGTTTATTTAATAATACAAATTGGTACGGCATAAGTGTACTGGTAACTGGCAACATTTAAGATTCATAAATTCGCTACTCTCCACCATTTTACCATATTATTTTATATTCGCTATTTTAATACACTACTTACACGATTAGTGTCTGTGTGTGCGTGTTTAAAAACAGAGAAGGGTTGCATTTTGGTAACTTACGTATCACAGCTTAAAATTAAGAGAAAAAAAGTAGAAACATAGTAATATATTTTTATCACTGTAATGGTGTAGTGGGAAGCATAATGCCAATAAAAATGACATAAGATTCAATGTTGCCAAAGCTCTGCGAATTTTTCTTCTGCGGGTAGAAAAAAATATTAAAAGGATCATATAGTTTTAACTTTACCCTATTTAACAAGCTCCCTAGTTTACAAAATTATTTTTTTCAGACGCTAAATGGCTGATAAACTAAAAGAAATTGAAATCGATAAAGTGACGTGGAAATCTATACGAGAAGACGGTCTTGACCTGGATTATGCTGTAGCGATACCGAGAGAAAAAGCAAATATTTTATACGGAGAACTTGAAAACACTTTACAATATTTTACCGGCGATTTGTCAAAAATTAAGTAAGCATTTAAGTTAATTAAAAATAAACGCGTTCTAGTAGTAATACGAGGTATTTACAGATTGCGATATTAGCTAACAACAAATTTATAAAGTAAAGGTTTACTTTTTTAGGGTATTTGGAAAAATATATCCTTTGCCCAGACAGCAAGTTGCGTATGGCGATCCCGGCATAACATATACCTATTCAGGAATTACCGTGCCGGCCTTACCTTGGCCCACACCAGTCTTAGCGATAAGAGACTTGCTTTTTAAATTAAAGGGGATACTTTACGACTTTGTCTTAGTAAACAAGTAAGATTACGAAAGCATTATTTTATCTAGTTAATATTTTTTCATTATCGTAATTTTATAACGTCCGTTTCGTTAACAGATATAGGAATGGGAACGATCATATGGGTGAGCATAGAGACAATGAACCGGAATTAGATCCCAAGTACCCGATAGCGTCAGTATCACTTGGACAAGAGAGAGTGTTTGTGTTGAAACATAAGGATACAAGGAAGCCAGGACCTAATAGGAAACAAATACCACCAGGTTAAGATTTTATTTAAGATCTTCGTATTTATTAATAGTTACAGAGTCATCAATATTCCTTAGTTTAAAGAACATGTAGCGCAGCTGTCGTGCCTCGTAAGTTACTGTTTGTTTTGCTTTAACATTAGCATCCTCTTCTTGAAAAGGACTCTCAATGACAGTACTAACCCGGCGACCATAAGTCTCACAACCCTCTAAAAACTGCATACAATCTTTAATAGTATTATCTTTAACTACTATCAAGTGCTTTGCTAAATTCTCTAGGAACGATAAAAAGCAACGCTTCGTGTAAAACCACGTGTCAGTGCCAAGACGTTTGTTGAATGGTTCAAGTGACTTGATCACTCTAGATATACCGAACTCATAGTTACCCTTAGCGCAATACAGAGTACCTATCACTAAGTTAACGATACACAAATGATAGAATTTTTTCTGAGGATCTTCGAATATTTGCTGCTCCTCCTCCTTTTCTATTTTCCGCATTATGTCTTCTGCTTCTTCGTTTTGTGATGTCATTATGTACGATACACATAGATTGGCTAACACGACCGCACTCACATTCAATATGTTATCGTATTGCTTTTTAACAATAGGTTCGTAAAAGCTGGCGGCCTCTTTGTATTTATTTTCCTGCATGAACAGCACATGTGCCACGTTCAATCGCCACACATCGGATTCGTTGCAAAACTCAACTGATTTACGAAATATCTTTTCAACTTGACCGTAGTTCTCCATGTCCCAATATATTTTTGCCTGTGCCATTACTACCGGTATATATCGTTCCAACGCTTCCTCATATTCCACGACCGCCTTCTTAACTTGTTCATTGTCACCTTGGGATCGACTCTCTTGAACTACTTTCGTAAGTTTTCTCAATTGCTCGGCGTGTTTCGATGCGATATCTTCATACTTTTGAAACGCCTCTTCAGGTGAAGTTTGACTTGTAATGATGGCGTCTAAGAAATCGTAGAGATATGGCGTAAGGTACTTGTAAGTGAACTGAGCGTTTTCAGCCAAAACATCAGCTGCCAAATCGTAATACTCAAATTTGCAGTACAGTAACAATAAGTTGGCAAATGTTTCGGCCGGGAAAGGATCTTGCTGTAGCAGAAAATGTAGTTTTTCAAACCCGTCAGTAGGCTTGATATCAATTGAAGTCAGAGCTAAATTATGTAATGTTATTGCATCTAGCTCGTGTTCGTGTCTCGGGGGCATGTCAGACAAAGCTTCTCTTGCTGCTTCGATATTCTTCAGTTGATATTCTATAGCTGCCTTAAGATTAAAAACCTCAGTGAGTGCAGTTTCGTGGAGCGTCAGTGTATTCCCTACTGATTTAACTTCAGACGTATCAGTTTGCATGCCTACAGCCAGTTCGGGATGATCGCGTACACCTCTCTCTATTACTAGCGTAATATGTTTGAGGGCCTGTGGATATTCTTTTAATTTAAAATAGCATAGAGCTACATTATAGTATAATTGTGCGTTAAAACCCAATATGTTCAGACTTCTTGTAAATTTTCGTAATGCTTCTTCGTATTGATTTTCTTTATAGAGCAGACATCCGAGATTGATGTCTTTGTCGGGATCGTCTTGAGGATAAGAGTCCACGAGGCTCCTGGCTGTTACAGAATCTTCTTCACCATACTTAATAGCTGATTGGAGTTTGATTACGTTCTTTTCGAGTTCTGGAGCGGTGATTTGCATCGTTACTTTATATGCTTCATCATACATAGATGCTTCATATAGTGCTTGAGCGAAGTAAAACTTGTATTCTGGTACGTCTGGATGCATAGCAGACAGTTGTTCGTAACAGTTGGCAGCTTCAACGAAGGACTGTATCCTATAGTAGCAATAGCCGAGAAGGGAGAGCCCTGCACGGTTTGTATTGTAATTCATGGCATCGTTTAATGTTTTTATCGCATCTTCATACCTTGCTTCTTTTATCTGAAATCCAAATTTTTAATTTTAACTGCTTTCTGTCGACGGCAAAACTGAAATAAGTGTCATAAAATGCGTGTATATTGAATAAACATGTTTTAGTTTATAGTATCGTAGTAATCTCTATTCCGTTATATCAAAATGGATTACTGTACTGAAGTGGAACAAAGGACATGGCGCATGCGACACGAGTATGTATCGCCTCATCCAATACACGATATCTTACACGATACCTTGATTTGCGTAATAACTTGTTATACTCTGCACTGTCAATGTCAATTATTAATAATAATAATAAAACTTTGTTATACATTTAACAAATCTGATTCACTGTAACCTTGGCTCCTTAGCTAGGTTTCCCTGTATTAAAGGAGCCAATGACTTCCCTTACGATGTTAAAGTGCATATATACAATTTAAATAAGTGACCATTACAATTATTTAACGAAGGAAACGTGCAACCAATACTTTGTGACTTACGTGTTAAATCATTAAATGGACAAAATTAACATAATACGAAGAACGATAACTCAAAAGCTTAGTAAGAATTTCTATTTCGTGTATTGACATCCTTAGTAGAGAAGATGTGATATTAAAGCATCAGTTCTTTCAGTAGATTAAACTCTTGACTATGGTAACAGATTTCCTCCTGTTACAGCAACCAATCTCTAATTTTAACCTGTTTAGTAAATTATACAACACGTACTATCAAATTTATTTTGCAAGAGCATATCGTGAGTTAACACAAACAAAACGTTGATATAAACACGTATTGTCATCGCTCTCGTTCTCTTTGAAAAAAACCGAGACAACAATATGTTTTATACAATTGTTTTTGCAATGGAAACTTACAGTTTGGGTTTACCTACCGCAGCTGCGACAACATTGTTAGGTTGATAGGGATTAAAGTACTAAAAGTCGAATTATGCCGTTAATCTAATCTTGCAGTCGTTTAACGAATTATTCGGCGATAAGAAATCGACCAACGGACTATGGAATACTATTTTTTCGTATAATAATTTACCTAATATTATAAATGCGAAGGTTTGCATGGATGTATGTTTCAAGGTATCTCCGACGGCTGGACGGATCTGTGTGATTTTGGCATAGATGTAGAACATAGTCTGGAAAAACACTTAGGCTACAAATAAGTTTTTTTTTAATTTGCAGGCGGATGTGGGCGACAGCTAGTTCCTATAAGAATCAAAATAAATCAAATTTAACGCTGTAAAGGGGATTGAACATATTGAATTGCTATACCAACTATTTTGAGTGCCATATACAGTCATTTAAATGTGTATATCGATTTTATTTAGGCTGTAGTTTAGAAGAAATAAATAATTCCTCTAAGGGGTGTAGAATAAAGTATCAGGCGATATTATAAAGTGGTTAAATACTTTAATAATCCCTATTATTCAATTTGATGCTAACTTTAACGGTTGTTCGCAATTATTTTATGTCAGAAATAAAAAAATATTTTAACTATTTTGTTTTGCGTCGTTTAAACGGAAGGTCTAAGGACGAAGGTTTTGTAATCCGAATTCGATAACTTGCTTTTATTTTGCAGTACAAATCGCTTCCGCGTGGGTGTGGTGTTTTTATGTAACGATAATTTTATCAATGTCGTTACGAAACATTTTGTTATTTTTCCGGATTATATGCAACCTTCAAGACTAAGGCCCTACGTCCACAAACGTTGAATAGTATTCGCGAACCGTCCTTTCTATTAGTATAGGCATAACGGATATATGTCAACTGTATAGATTTGCACCTACTTTTCTTACAAGGGTCTTAGCGAGGTTGCGAGCGACTCTCTTCGGCGATGAGATATAGAAATGTCGGTGACGCGGGCTGTGTGCTAACTTCTAAGTCGCTTAGTTCGAAGGTTTACATTGCTTTGTGTACGAAGGGCCTTAGCGGCATTTTTCGCACATTAGCGATATCATGAATTTCGTTGCGCAATTTATTTATCTATTTCAAAACATAATATCTGGTCTACATCAAAAATTACGAGTAATTTTACAACCAAGTGTTTGTTGTTTAAATTTCCATACTGTAGATTCGGGATGAGACATAGTAGCTATATTTATCATAATAAATTAGTAGGTAATCTAAATTATATCTTACCATCGTGTAAATAGTTTTTGTGTATTGTCCGTCGGATATTTGCAAATAATTCATTTTTATTTAACGGCGTATTCCACTTTTGCCACTTTGTTGACAATTACTGTTACCATAGCAACGGTTTGTAAACACTTTCATCACACCATGAAGGATTTAGTTTAAAGGATCTGTGACTGAAGATTTTAATGAAAGAAATCTCTCCACACAAAATATTTATCCACTTGCACTGTCCATTTAACTTATTTTAAATTTATACCAACAAAAACTCTTCGTTGCTTCAATCTTTTACTTGGAGTATTACTAAAGTTTATTTTTTTCAGTGAAGATCAACTTAGAACATGGGAGCATTCTTTTAATGAATCCGCCCACGAATGAGATCTGGTATCACAGTTTGCCTGTAAGGAAGAAACTGACTGGGGCAAGAATTAATCTCACCTTTAGAAAGATGCGCGGAAAATTGTAATGGGTTGAGTAAAAATTAAAATTAATTTATTAAAAAAAACTCGTTTTATTTCTCATAGTTAAATAAGCTTTTTGAAAAATGTTTCTAATAAACTTATGAAGCTTAGATAGAGAATAGGTAATTTGGTGGTAATTAATAGGTATATTAATTTCTTTCTCTGCCTACTATATTGGGAGTTTTTCCAAAGTGGTAACACAAAGAACATAGATCGAAGAGTAATTTTGACATTTGACAGCTTTAATGTCAAAATAAAACAATTGGATTTTTATCGGTGTTGTTTTATTCGCGTAGATAGGTTTTCTATAGTTTTTCTCATTATATCGGCGATAGATACTGAAGAAAAACAATATAAATCGTCCTATGACTTGCGTATATTGTAGCTGGATCAAGTAAATTTTGTTATAAGGTAACAGTTTATATTATATTTCGATGCATCAGTTTAGTCATTTTTACACTCAATATATTATCACAGATAGTCGAGTACATAAGTATGATAAGCCTAGCCTATATAACGGATAGCGGCGTTGAACGACCGTCGTTATAAACGCATAAGGAAGTGCTACGATCTACATTTACTGGATTGCATTAGAAAAATAACATACAGTTATGATGCAAATTTAAATGCATTTATTGGATTGTACAGTTTATTCATGTATCATAGTATATCCTATGAAGACATATAAGTTTCGCTAATATTATTAAAATTGATTGTTAAAAAATGTGGTATGGACCAAATTTACAAAGATCATATAAGTACATGATATTTGCTTCAAAGATGCCGTCTCTGAGGATCGACCAGAGTGATTTGAAATGTAAGAATGGATGTGATTACTATGGCAACCCGCAGTGGCAAGGATATTGCTCCAAATGCCACAGGGAACAACTACAGCGACAAAGAAGGGCTGGTATGTATTCCATATTGGCACTTTGAATTATAAATTTATAATAATATCTGTCATGTGCTTTCTGGTTAAAGTTTAAATTGTACAAGATAAAGCCAAATTCATTGATTTGATCTTTGAGGCAAACAAAATAAAAGTCAAGGATCAGCAGTGTGAAAAGATATTTTTAAGAATATTGGAAATAAATAATAATTGTAGACAGGTAACAAAAAGAAAAATATAAACTATTTTATAAAGCACATTTTTTGTTATTTTGATTACTCATAAAACTAAAAATTAAAATGAAAAACCTTATTACCTGGCCAAATTTCAACCATTAAGGTATTCTAATTTGATCACCCTTGCAATTTAAATTATCTGCCACCCTTAAAAATATTTGCTATGTTACTAGTTCCAGGAGCTCTTTAAACTTCTGGTGGTGAAATTAAATTTGTTTTGTAATTTTCGAGTTTTTATAAAACAACTAAATCTTTCTTTATATAATTTCTTGGATATGATCAATGGTCCGGATCTGTGGATTTATTATGCATTTTATATATTTACGTAGTTTTTTATACTTTATAACAGAATGTACTTCACCTTCACCATTCATTTGTTATCTCCCCCTTTGGTTGTAACGCAACATATATTTACGATTTTGACATAATTGTAGATAACTGTTGTCAATTTCAAGGTTCATCATTTAATATTATATTGCATTATACAACAAAATCAGATTATGTATGATAAATTGAATTTAAATTGATTGTTTAATGCGAGGGATTAAAAACATTGTATGCTACTTATACAAATGTTATTAAGAAAATCTAGTTTGATTTGTACTTAAAATTATTGCAACAATTAAGGCAATTAAAGAATCACAGCAAAAGATGAAAAAATCTTTATTTTAGTGCCTTTTTTTGTTAAATTTACCAACTTAATCCCACTCCTAATTTAATAACATCAACATCATCATCATCAGCCTATACTAGTCCACTGCTGGACATAGGCCTCTCCCATGACATGCCACTGAGCACGATCAATGGCCACATAGTAACATATATAGATAAAATTTGTCTACTTCCATGACCAATTTATTATAATATGGTATAACTATTATAATTTTAATTCGTGTAATAACAGAAAAAGCGTCAGCGGCATCCGCGTCGGCGACTTTACCGAGACAGGAGCAGAAAAAGCCGGAGCGCGGACTTAAGTTGTCGTCTCACTCCTCCTTCTCCAAGTTCGAGGAGAAACGCCTGCGCCAGAGCGAGACCCTCAAGAAAGCTAATTTACTTAAATTTAGCGTCTTCAAGAAGAGTAGTGCAGGTATTAATAACAAACTTATTGTTGAGTTAACTTAAGATTTGAGATCCCAAACTCATTAAATCTATCTTATAATATAGGTAAATACTGTTAATATTTGTAATGAATAAGACATAAGGTAAATTGAAAGTGAATGATTCGGATTTTATGCAGATAACTAGTCGTATGGTCAATTTGACCATACGGTCAAGTTTTAATTCAAGATAATGAATTAGTCGCTTAAAAAGCCACAACGCCCGTGACCCATTCGGGTAGATAGAGATTACAAATTTCCATATATGGATTAAATATTTAAAAATTGTATTCAGAGGAACATGAGCAATCAGAGAGGAGACCTCAAGAATTTAAGATCCCGTCGATGGTGAACGAAGGAATGAAGCGTGACTTTCGTGCCCGGTTCCCGCAGCTGCCTGGGCAGGTGGACCGCGACGCGCGAGTCTTCGCCCACTCCTTCATCATGGACGTCATCAAGTGCTCCAATGTTATGTCGGTTGATGAGCTCTCAGAAAGAGTGCAGCGACAATATCAGGTATGTTTCTCTCTCTGTCAATGTTCCTTTCCAAGTGTCTCTTTGAGCATAAAGTGTTTTAGATAAACTAATTTATTTTTGTAGAAAATTATAACGGTTGAATAGGATAATTGGTATTACCCGCGAATCCGTTTGCGCGGAAATAAAAAAAAAATATTAAGTAGTCTGTGTGTACTTCCAGACTATGTTCTAAGTCTGGGCAAAATTTCATCAAGATCAGTTTAGCTGTTCTGGTAATACCTTCAAACATCCATCCATCCATCTAAACTTTCGCATTTATATTATTAGTAATGTTAATATGTATTTTGTGTGTGTCAGAGGTTTATACGGCACATGGACACGTCGCAGCACTTCGCCGGTCTCGAGCAGGACACCAAGGAGCTGCTCATTGACTTTGTAGAGAAACATGTCATGACTTATTTACACGAGTGAGTTACAGTTTTATATTAGGGAGATATATAGATATAGTCAACGGTTGTTGGTTACTTAGGAATGTCTTTTACTTGTATAAACAGACTTCAGAAAGGAGGAGGAAGTCCAAAAACAACTCCGAAATAACAATAATTGTGCAATATAGACATATTACAAGAAATAAGAGAATTTTCTTACTTTCCAGTTCATGACATTATTTTGTTACTTTTTAGTGCATTTTGTGTGGGAATGTTTTTTTTTGAAGTCGGTTTTCTCTTTTTTTCTGTTTGATTGTGTAAAGTGGTACGTTGTCCAGATTGCCTGGCGTGGTGTTCTCCCCCGCCGGCACGGAGGACGAGCGAGCTGACCGCGCGCTGTCGGAGCGCATCCAGCAGCTGGGGTGGGTGGGGGAGCGACACCTTGACTGCGACCTGGACCGCAGCAACGCCGCCTGCCGACAGCAGCTCTACAAGGCTATCAGTGGTCAGTCGTATATCACTAACCTTTATTACATACACAGTTATCACTTAATGACTCTGAGTAAGGGTTTCGTCAGCTGACGATATAAGTTACATCTTGAGCAGGTGGGAATTTTTTTAATTTCTAAAGTAATGTTTATTAGGTACTGAATGGATTACAGGACAACTAAACTCAAAAACTACAGGACATGTATTATAGTTTTTGAGTTATCTATGTGGAGTTATGTATAGGAATTGTTTATTTTTAGTAATATCTTAATATTTTGACGTGGTTTATCTATTTGAAAACAATTATAATATAAAAATGTATTTAAGAAATGTTTGTATTGTGCAGAGTTGCTGGGTATGGACGGGTGCGCGGCGCCGGGCGGGAAGCTGGCGCGCGTGCGGCGCTGCTGCCGGCACGTGCTGGCGCTGCCCGGACCGCCCGCCTCCGCTGACGAACTCCTGCCCAGGCTTATATTCACTGTTAGTTCTTCTCTTTCTCTCTCTCAACTCCTTTCATCTTATACATATTTATCTTGTATTTCTTTTCGATGTTTTAAAAGATATTTGTGACAATATATGAATCGAATTCAAGTATTTTTCTTTCCTGCCTTACTGTAGGTTTCTGAGACTAAACATCTGTCTCTCTGTATAAAACATATCGTCATCCCTGTCATATTCGACAAAACAAAAATAACAATAAATTTTAAATGGGGTTTTTGGTCTCAGAAACCCACGATGAGGTTTTGAATTGTTTTTTTTTAGCTTTGATTTAGTATGACAAATTTAAACATATGTTGAATTTAATTTATTTTATATTTTTTTTTGTCACTACCTGAACCTAGATAACCGAGAGTCCAAGTCATCCATCGGAACCGAATGAACCTCGCTTGTAAAGGTTCCTCGTTTTTCCTGATTGTGTGTATAATATAGCAGAGCGTGTGTGTATGTGAATGTATGTGTGTGCATGGTGCAGGTGCTGAAGGCGAATCCTCCACGTTTGGTGAGCAACATAAACTTTGTGACGCGCTTCTGTAACGCGCAGCGTCTCATGACAGGCGAGGGCGGGTACTACTTCACCAACCTGGTACGTTCACTATTACTGGATATTATTTTTATGCAATTGGTAGCTCATTCGTTCATTCATCTATGCCACATTTCACCGAGATTCGTTAAGACTGAAGATACCTTATAACAAACATCCATCGCAATTATAATATTTGATTGATTAAAAAAAAAAGGTTGGATGCTTGATTTAAATAAAAACTTTTTGCTTATTCTTAACGTACATAGTCGAGGACGATTATTTACTACCCACTGTAATAAAATGTCTTGTGTTCTAAATCCTGTCATAGCTTCGTACAAAGTGCTAAGTATGTGTTGATATATGCAGTGCTGCGCGGTGTCCTTCATCGAGAACCTGAGTGCGGAGTCTCTGAACATGGACAAGCAGGAGTTTGACTGCTACATGGCCATGCCCGCCTCCATCGGCGGCAGCGCATGGGTAACCGCGCATTAATACTTCCACTTCAATTTTAATTTTATCTCAGTATAGATAGATACCTAGTATCTGGCCGTGATATGTGCCATTTTAACAACATTGCAGATTTATGTAAAAACAAACATTAATTTTAATATAAAAGGCAGAACTATTGTGTTATTTTTAAAATGCTTGATTAATCAATGAAAACTGTTCAACATAACCTAAAAAAAAGTGCGACATGGTATGTATATGAAACTAATAGTTTTGTGCATTAGGCGGCAGCACTGTCGCTGTGCGCGTGCGCGCGCGAGGCGGAGGAGCAGCGCGCCCAGGCGGAGCGCATGCTGCAACAACTACACGAGATAGACGCACGCTCCAAAGCCCTCGCTGACAACGCTGCCAGCTTCGAGGTAAGAAAAAACATAACCCGAAAAGCCGAAAAGCAAACATACCAGACTGACACAAATTAACAACTGTAGTTTTAATAAAAAAAAAAGTAAAATGGAGTGTATTTATCTTACAGGAACAAATTGCGAAAAAGGTGCAAGATGTTCTAGCTAAAACTCCATTAGAGATCAAACCGCGTCGCGAGTTGCCGAGGTTTGGTAAATTCAAGAGCATCGCCGCGGCGCCGCTCATTGACATAGACACGCCCACCTCCGCACCAGACCACGCCCCCACTCCCGCCACACTACAGCAGGAAGCCACGCCCCGACATACACCAAACGAACTACAAAAGGAACATGAAATCCCAGTAGTAGAAACTACTGTAGTAGAAGATAAACAAGAAATCCTCGACTTCCAAGTCTTAGAAAAGCCGTCTCCATCAAAATCTCCCAACAATCTCGATGAGAAATGGGATTTGAAGCAGACCAACTCCATGGAACTCCTTACACCGTCACCTCTAGGGTTTACACCCTTTGATTCAAGGTCAATCGATGAACTAGTCACCCCAGAAGACTTTGGTACGGAGAACTTAGCACCTGGATTGAGTAATATCAATTACGATATAGATTTATCTGACTTCAGCGGTGATAATAGTTTGGCTGAAGATCCACCGAAATCTGAACCCAAAGATCCATTCAGTCCGGATGGTATTAAGAAGGAGTTCGATCCATTTGCCCCTTTACCATCCCGTAGTGAATACAGTGCTATATTAGAAACATTTGATGAGTTCTCTTTAGTTGATGCAAGGAATGTGAGTTCTGAAGCATTTGAAGTAGTCCACAGGGGACGGGATCCGTTCAGTCCAGTTTTAACTGAACAGACGGATCCATTCAGTACAGCGAACCAACATACTTCGTTATTAGATGATAAAGAATCTCCTACTGCTGAATGTTTACTTCCATCACCATTACAGCCTCAGACCAGTAAATCTACTTAATAATTATTGGTAATATTGAAAATATAAGAATAATCAATTTTGTGGCTAAAATAGATAAAAAAATGCATGTACCGTTGGTTTCTGAGATCAAAATCTCTAATATATTGGCATCCCTGTCATTATTTTTTACAAAACAGAGATAACAATATGTCTTAAATGGCGGTTTTGATAACAGAAATCCACGGCTAGTTTAAGATTGCAACCCTTATTATCCATGGATACCAATACCCATGGATATCCTTATCAAAGGATATCATTCATTCTGATGTTTGAGGCTGTGAAGTTCTTCTTGCATCTATTTTAAATTATTTTTAGTTATCATTATAGTCTATGCTATGTTAAAATTAATATTTTAGTACTAATTATTAACTTATTGTTAAAATATTTTAGTTGTTGAATCTCAAAATATAAGTTTTATGTTATAAATGTATAAATATATAAGAAGTTTTATTGTAATTTTTATAAACAAGCTTTATATATATATTAGTTTTTGTTCAAATAATATACATAGATTATATAACCAATATAGTTATTTATTATTTAAAAACGACAAGCCCTGCATGTAATTGTCAAATAAAGGAATTGCAAAAAAATATATTTGTTTTAATGATAAAAACTGAAATACATTAAAAAAATTTATTATATCTGTAATGTCGATCAGGATTATCGTAATATACAAAATTTCAAATAATTAAATCAACTCCATAATACCAAAGGTTCGGAGGTTTTTTAAAACTATGACAATAATGTATACAAATTAAGTAACATATTGTATAAATAAAAAGCAATATACATAGGATCTTCACACAATCATTAAAACCTTAAAAAAAATCGATAGTAGAGAATTCCAATGTGACATTTGTTTTAATATTGCCATCCCTTTCATTCTATTTGACAAAATAGAGACAACAATATCAATACATCACACGATGGAATACTATGGTTAAAATAGTTTCGATTGAATTTACGTAGAGTAATAATATAAGAGCTGTTATTAAGCAAATTATTCTGTTATAATTATAGCATACATTTTTCGTATAATTTTTAATCAACTTAAAACTATAAATTCTGCATTTAACGCCGTACTTTTGCATAAAAAAACTATTGTTAAATTGCTGACATAAAATGTATTTGACCATCCCATAATCATTACACAAACATACTATATTTACGATAATATATTAGTTTGTTATATTACTAGATAATTCTAAATTCAATATGCCTAGGCTATATCAGCTAGGTCATAGTATTTTAAATGACATACGAATGAAATACATATTTAAATATCAGTTTCTTAACAATAGAGAAGAGAATTATGAAATGAAAAATACTTATGCATTAAATTAAATGAATATAAGACTAATACGCAGACAATGTACTGAAATTCTTACTAGAATGGCTTATAAAATGTATATAAAATATATTGTTTTTTTTCTATTGCATTAACTATGGCATCTTAGATATATATTGGTGTTATGTATCTTACATAAGTTATTGTTTAATACTTAATTTATAACAAATTACTTAACAGCCTTTATGTTTAGTAAATACTGGCAGCTTTGCTTGGTACTTTATTATTTCATGACATTATGGTCTACATATTAGCCAGAGACACTAGTTTAGAAATTGCAATTTCACATATCCACACGAAATAAGCTCCAATCTGCCTAATTAAATACATAGCCCGCTATATACTAAGATTCTAACCGTCATACACAAGCTATATACTAATACACTCACACATTCACATTAAATGGTTTTCATAAATAACATACATATCATACACATAAGAAAATATGTATTTTTTTGTGCAAAGATCCTTAATATAAGCAATTGGTATCACTAACACCGTTTACAGTCAGTAATGCTATGAGGCTTTCCATTCCAATTCAGAGTTCCACTGCTGAAATACCCATTCAAAACATATGTTTCAAGGAGACAATATATCTTTGTTCAAGAAAATAGCAGTGGAAACCCACTGTATAATTATACAAGATTCCTCTATAAAGTATACTGTGTGTAGTGTAATCACATTACATGCATCTGATCATATTTATCACTTATTAGTCTCTCCGTGGTGCCGATCACCTCCGCTAGTACCTAAGGCTCAGTAAATACCAGTTCACTAAGTATCACCCATGGCATTATCTACTTACTTAATTATCCAAGTATATTTACATTTAGTTTAAATACATTTTTGTTCTGTTTGGAATAATACAATCACAAGTTGTGACAGGAATTGTCACATCCACATGTCACACGCTGTCACCCAAGTTCTCTTATTTAACCTTACAATAAACACACATTTACATACAGAATATGAAATAAAAATACAAATTTTTGGCTCACTTTGTTGTTGATTACAATAATTACAAAACATGTCAAAGTTGCAGATGATGACACTAAAATTATTTGCATATTTTGTTAAAATACATATTTATACACATTATTTTAGACTAAAATGTTCACTTTCACTAAAAGTATATTATTGTTCATTGAGGATCATTGTTAAAATGTCCTTTTAGTTTAGTCCATATGTACTATTGCAAGTACATGGAAGTTCGGATTAGGCAATCGATATAGTCACATTTATCCCCAGGTTTCCGTTGTCGGCAAACAACTGGGCTAACGATGTATCAAACACAAGACAATCTGAATTCATGATGGCGGAGGAGACTCCCTCGTGGATGGAGCGTGGCATCGCCTCCCATGTTAGGCGGCGACGGTGCCCGTTTAACTCCAACCTGTATGCAAAATTTTCTGCTTCCTTTCGGGAACCTATTAACTGGACAATCGCAAAGAACTGTTGGTGTCCATCAAATTTCTCTTGTTTCTCAAGGACCAACATGAAATGATGATTGAAACATGACTGCATCATGACCCAGTCTACGGCTCCAGGTAGGTTTATATCTGTAGCTAGGAACACAATATCTTCGCCCTGAAGAGTGGTGATACTTTTGTGTGAGGTCATCAAGTGCTGCATAACTTGATCCAGGCCGCCCTGCCACTTGCACGAGGCACCAGGACAAGGGCAAGAGTAAGGTCGAAATTCGCACGCCTCCTCGTGTTCTGCTTTTTCAGTGTGCACGAGTGTAACTGTACAACCTGTGTTGGAGTGTTTACATGGGAACATGACATTACTGGCGACCTTCTCCATTGCCAGGTTGCGTATGTTGCCGAGCGGTCCGCGGCACGTGGGGCAGCACGACAACTTGGGACGGCAGCTGGAGCAGACCAGGTGCCCGCTCTGACATTGCAGGATTGGTGGCAGGACATAGTCGAAGCAGACAGGGCACTCGAACAAAGAAGCTAGGTCGGCAGACATGGCCGTTGGGACGTTCACCAGGGCGGGCACTCCAGGTACGAAACAACTAGCACCGTTAGCTCCGCGCCTCTTGCTTGTGCTCATGACACCGTCATGCGCCGCGGAAAGACCCGTTAATCGTTGTAGAAGCTCTTTTAAGTGCTTTCAACACTCACAAAGTGATCTAGGCTGCTTCCTCGATCATTTGTATCCCTCGACGACAGAGTCCTTTCCACTTGTAAAGAAGTCGAAGTATGATTCCATTACAAATCGACTGTCGATGTTTTATTTTCAATTGTCAATCCGATACGTCAGATGTGAACTAACAGGGGTATTTTAGTTTAAGGATCTATTAGATTTGTGGTAATGGCTTTGAAGTTGGATTACACTTTAATTTGAACTATGTTATTGCGGATGTTCTGTTTTACTACAAAAGGGTGAAATTTGTTGTACCATTCCATGAACTGCAATCTGCAACCAATCGAAACTGAAATTCTATCAAAATTGTGACAGACTGACAGAGATAGATACACAGATAGCGAACTATGATGTCATAGGAAGAATATAGATTATAACTGAACGTTACCAAATTAAAAAAATACTCGTGAAGGTGTATTATAGTTTTATGTACTGACCTCAATAGGTAAATAGTAAATATGCATATATATCTAATTTATAGACCCTTACTTGGCCTATTTATATTCGCGCGAAGTTAAATGGCCTCTAAATCTGATCCAAAAAGTGGCGCTGCGATCGCGCAGAAGCAGTAAATGACATAAAACCAAGACCAGACGGTTTGACTCATGTTTTACTTCATTTACTTTTTATTTAGTCCCTTTGTTTCACAATTTCTTGCCTTACGTGAGATGGATAGAACGTAACAAGTAAGATTTACTCTTTATCTCTTATCTAAGCAATTTACCATTTAAAGTTGCGAAAATTGGCCAGAGTATCGACAGTGGCGCCTTCCCTCTTTTTGTGGGCAAAACTTTTTGCAGACCTATAACAATTATTATATAATAAAAATAATAATTCATAAATGTTGTACAAAAAACTAGTATAAGATAATGAGCAAATTTCCCTCTTTATTACTACTATTCGGAAGTGCTCCACTGCTATACTGAACGTTTGTGCTTTCGGCACTGTAGAAAGTCTATTATTTTTTTCCAGGCGTTAATTAATTGGAGTGTTGAAAGGGAAGAAAAGTTGATTATTGATATAAGGAACGCATTGTAACGAGTACCGGCAACCTCGTAATCGTAGAAGCAACTAAGAAGAACTAAGAAAAATTTATGCCTTCTAAAAATCTCTTCCCGTATTTTGTCCTTATCAGAAAAGGGCGGAAAGGGAAAGAGGACCATAGTTAGGTCTCCGCAACGCACACTCCTCAGACGAAACGCGGAATTATTTGTATTTAAAGCCTTATTTCCCTGTTGTCGTGGTATTGCAGGGGGCGAGGCACACTGTTATACTGTTTCTTAGTTCTATTGGTGTAGTCGTGTGTTTTGGTTATTGCAAAATTCATAAAGAAATTTTCGATTAACAACGTTTGTGTCGTAAATATTAGTTATTGATTGAAGAATTAGAATCAACGCTTACGTCGCTGATCGGATCAAACTTAAAAAGACCCACTTTGACTAATGAGGAGTCATTAAATTCACAGCACTCTTTTCGCGTTATCTAACTCAATAAGGTTTATGAGTGTTATGGAACATATATGTTTTTGATTTAACACCTATACTTGTTGAAATATTTCGCAACATTCAAGTGTTTATAACTCTTAGTTTATCATCGTACAAAGACATTTCAAGAGTTTATCTCGTTTTGATAAACTTGTTTGTTCCTCCCGATACAGTTGATTGTATGTCGAGTGATGCTAAACTGAATTAGACCAGTGGTACTCAACGTTTTTATCGTTTGTATTCTTTTAGAATGAAACTCTACTTACTTGTGCTTGGCACCGCTTGCTGCTATGTGGACAACGATGAAAATCTGTTGTTCAAATTCTAGAACCGTTCGACGTCACTGTGGAACGCGACACAGTTTGAGAAACACTGTATTAGACGGTATTTGTTTTATTTAAAAGTATGATTCGACTAAATATCCTTTCACTGTAATATTAAAGTTTTGAGTTATTTGATTAAGATAAAAATTATTTCAGAATTATTAGTGCCGCGAATGCTATGACAAACGATTATGTTAACCAGTAGTAAGGAATACAAGAAGGGCATATAAATATTTGCAGCCTTCATCCTTTGCCTACTACAAAATTGTAAATGTAGTCGAACGACGCTGGCACGTTTTCGTTCTTCTATTTTTTTAAGTTTTAAGCAGTACTTAAGTAATTAATACTGTTATTCCAAAATGCTTTTGTTGGATTCATATTTTTAATTATGAAGTGCTTAAAAAGCAAAAATAAACGTGGGAATCCCCCATTTAATATTGTATTTTTTCAAAGAAAAATTTAAGTTAAATCACGCCTTTGCTACGGTTCGTCAGTGATCTAAGCATTTAATTGTCAAATTGTTAATATTCTTTTTGTCATTGAAGCTGAATAAGAAAAAAACATTATCAAGGTTTCGGGATTCTCATCGTAGTGATTCTTACGGCATTTGTTTATTTAGTTTTGTTTGTTTATTTTTTTTATTTTTAATATTTTATGCCACGTATCTATAAATATAAACAAACATTAGAAAAATCATGTTTATAACAAACACGCGGAGACATGCGAACAAACGTACGATAGTCAGTGTAGAATAATTTCATAAAATTAGCTTCCCAATAAGTGGCTTTCATTAAGAATAAAAATGTTTTCATTAATATTTCTCTTAGTTAAACCTTCTTACTGAAGCGACATGTTTTGTTTGCACTCTGCTTTATATGTAACCTCCGTGGTGTGCAGAAAAAAGTAAATCGGTATCTGCAGTCTGTAGCAGGGAAGCGTCGTCGACAAACGCGCGCGCGGCAAGTCAGTTGGCGGGAATTTTGACAAATGTCATATCGTAACAAGTGATAAAATTATTAGTGATCTGATAAGTGTGTTTCAGTGTTGTTTCGCAAGTTTACTATTGGGAAAACTTACAAGATAACTGCTAAAGTACTTCGTTGAATTGTTTAACGGTTTTTCGTGAATATTACACAAAAATATAGGTGAGTGAAGTTTTGATGAATTCGGAAATTTTTCATTTAAAGTTTTAAATTCAAGCTATGTTGTCATTATTACATGTTAGAAAAATATTATATTACATTATATCGGTTTAACGTCGAATACGAACTAGTTTTATAGACGTTTAAGCTACATATTCTAATCGATGGGCAGTATGTATACAACGATATTACGGTCTGTTAATAATCTGTACAAATATGAAATACAAAAAAATAATAACTTTTTGCTAATATTTGCATCAACGTTTTAAAGTGAGTTAGAATAGACATTTTTTGGATCAGGTTAATAAAGTTTTGGAAGAGTTTCCCAAGTTTCTGAGTTTTTTAAACTCTCGAAAATGCAGATAACGTAAAAAATCTTACGGTAATTGGTTAAATTATGTAGTAGATATGTACTAATATAATAGCGGATGGATGATTGATAAAAGAATTATGCCAAATATATTTCAAAGAACATATAACTCACAGATAAAAAAAACAATTCCTTTGACACTGCATTCTCCGAAAGACCTTCACCGCTTAACTGAAAAAATAAGTCGTTAGTGTTTTTAGAGGATCTGAGTTTTTATTGTATCTACAATTTAAGTGTAATTTTAGTAATAAAGTTGATACTATCATTCTTTGTTTTGAAATAATAGTAAAAAATAAAAATCTGTATTGACGTCAACAGTTAAACTCCGTAACTAGAATTTGTCTTAAAAAAAAAAAACAAAATAGTTATATGGTGCCAGTTACCATTTCATCTTCATTTCATCTTACTGTGGGCCTCCAGTATCGAAACACCAAGACTATTATTCCAATTTAGCTTCCCTTTTATATTAGTTTATTTCAGCTGATTTTACTGATTTACACAGAAGTCAAATTAAGATTCTCATCAGAGTTTCGTGGATGGAATAACCAGTCATTAGATGTTTTGAAAACAATTGGCATTTATGAGAAAAAACTCTAATCGCAAACCATTATTCGTCACTTTAATTTTTTGTGTGTTTTTCACTCATGCTTTATGTACGGTTATCTTTGATATCAAAAATGAAAATAAGTACGTCGACAATAAGGTGACGAGAATCGAGAAAGTTTGATGTGTAACGAATGAAGAATCATATATGATTAGAACAAAGAAAACATTAACACACAAATTTCTATCAGGCATAGACAACTTTTATTATAATCACAAATTTTAAGCTTTATATAATCAAAAACATATTTTTATCTGTGTCATGTAAACAGAATGAGAAAAAGAGAAACCTCATCTATTTCGCCAGTGAAAAGAGGGATAAAGATAACTGTATATGTTTCAGTGCAGTTGTTTGCTCAATGAAAAAACCACGGTGAAAATCACGCTTTAGTTCATTGTTCTTATCTAGCGTCATATAAAGACGTCATTAAAATTGTATGACGTGGCATCGGCTCTCATAATAAACTTTATCACAGCTTTGTGTATCGAGTTTATACTAGGCCTAGTGGTTAGTACTTTTTGTTTGATTTTTAATTCGAATTAAAACGGGGCAATTTGGAGAGGAAACGGATTACTTATGAGATTACTTACTATGTCGTCCAAATCTACATGTTGCTGAACTCTGTGAAGCTTTAGAATTAACAGAAGTCCCACAGAAAATGTCTGAAGTCTTTAGTGTGAACCAAACTATCTTTGTATTTTGGCTATCGGTGGGACGTGTAGGGATGCAGGGCTGAGGCACACCCTTGCCTGCGCTTCCCCAACCAAATAGATCCACCAGGCATCTGCGAAGACCTGTGTTTGAAGCTAATCAAGAGCTGCAACATAGTCTTGTAATACAAGAAACCATTAAACCTATAAAAAAAAGGTAAAATGAGAGTGTAAGGCTAAAATTATTCGTTACACGTTTGACACTTGTGTGAGTACCAGGTCGAGTTACCCAACACCACTGGTGTTTATTACACCATCAAAGGTCTTTATAATTGTTAGTGTTATGTGTAACATGCCCTTTGTACGTGTGTCATACATACTTAATACATTTCCAAGGTCTAAGGTCCAAACTTATGTTAAACTAAACAATTTTTAATATCCCCTAACTTATAGTATTATTAACATTCTTATAAAAGCTTTTTGACCATAAATGTTTGGATCGTAAATAACTTTTATATACAAAGGTAAAATAAGCAAACATTTAAATTAAAGTCTGAGTTATGCTGTCATACCGCACTAATTGCACTATAATTGACTTTATAAAACTTCTTATTTCGTTCACAAAAACTTGTCGCACTGCAGACAATTGTTCGGGATGTTTTATGTTCATTATAAAGTCATAATAGCGTTTAACGATTACTTTTGAAAAATAACCGTGTAATCCGACTACCGTATCAAGGACATCAGCTGTCGCCCGCGACTCCGTCTGCGCGGAATTATAAAAAAAAAACTTAATAAGTTGCCTGTGTTCTTCCAACTATATTCTTGATCAAACATGATACAAACATCCATCTAAATATTCGCGTTTATAATATTAATAAGAAGTAAGTTTAGTAAAATTGTCATTATTTTTTCAAATATAATGCGAAGAAGGCAAGTTGAACACAAATGTGTAGACAGTGGAAACCCATCCTAAGAATAAAACTACTGATATTTTTGATTCCATCGATGAGTGATATTATTTACTTTATTAACAGTTATCTTCCAAATTACAAAGACATTCACACTTTTTGTTTGTGAAATAAAATTGTAGATGTATTAAAAAAAACAGTGTGTGAACAACCGCCTTACCTTGATTTGTTGACATTGTGTGTTCAGTTCCAGCCGGTCTCCTGGGGTTCAAGACCGTGCGATTTGCTGTTAACCTTATATTTACAAGTCAACTTAGTTTGTACTATGTTAAAATATTTTTTTTTACAGTACCATAATCACTTATGGATATTGACCTAACGTAAACCGTAGAATTGATAACCAAATTAAACGTTCTCTCAATATCAAACCATTTTTATCTGCATTGGATTTTCATATTACTATGGTAAACTAAAATTACAATATACAAGAATTGTCGCATTCAGGTCGTTTTACAGTCAGTAAAGCAGTCCCTTAGTATAGGTTTAGTATAAGAAGTTTTTTAACAGATAAAGTAGAGCAATGATTCATTTCTCGTAACAAGATGTAGGCACGTTCAGAACCAATGGAATTGTCTCTTTATAGTAACCTAAGCGTTATCTCTTATGCAAATATGTCTCGAGACACACAAATGTTTATACATGGCCAGTATTTTAATTTCTTATTCAATAATACTTCAGAGTTTTCAATGTAAATGTTAACTTATAGATTATCGAGATTGATTTTTAATTAACAAAATATGTGGCCTTCATTTATTAGTAGCTATTTTTCCGCCAAGGATGTGATCTTCAGTTAAACAGAATTTTACGGACATCCTGTATAAATTGTTATAACAATTGTAATTTGAATACTACATCTATTGTAATTATAAGGTCAAAATATTTTATATCTATTATTAAATTTTTGTTATAGTAAACGAGATGTCTATGCATACCAAAGTCTTCAATTTACAATAGTACGTGAGTTCTTCATAGCTCTATAACAATGCAGCGTTTATCGCGCTACAATGTTGAATAGTTGAGAATTTTGCAGAATATTTTGTTTACAAATTGGGAGGATCAGAACACAAAGTTACAAAACATTTTTTTTAAAAATAAAAAAAAAATCAAACCTAATCGGTGCAATTAGGTTATCGTAAATGTTGTTTTTCAACTGAAGAACACTAGGTCAAAAATTATTATTATATTATTTCTTTTTTAATTAAATTTTTGATGACAAACGACTTAACAATAAACTCTACTGTGTTACCTTTATGATAGTGGTAAATGTTATAACAAGGTGTTTCATATCACATCTGTATCAACATACATAACAATAACAAATTTA